GTGATGGAATCCGATATCATGCAATGAGATTTTCTGGAAAGAAAGAGGTTGACCCGACAGATCAAAACGAGTTCACGCGACCAATTTCTCTTCATCGCAGAGACCCTCGGCAACCACCTCCGGGCAAAGCATTCAAGGATGAAGATGTAGTTATGGAGGACGCAGTCGATTCCAAGGAGAGAGAAAGACAAGAAATATTAAAGGCCGAGAAGGAGGCGCAAAAGGCTGCAGATCGTGCGCAAATAGCTCCTACTGGCAATAACGCCAATGCAGCAGCTGCTAAAAAAGCTCAAGCCTTCCGAAATGAAAAGACAACTCAAGTACATCGCTTAGATAAGACAGCAGAGCAAAAGAAAGAGTCCGATCTTAGATATGAGGAAGCGTTACCTTGGCACCTGGAAGACGCTGACAACAAGAACACTTGGGTCGGTAATTATGAGAGTGCCTTGTCAGAAGTCAATGTTATGTTTTTCACAGAGGGAAGTGCTTTCAAGATGATTCCAGTCGAGAAGTGGTACAAGTTCACCTCGAAAAACAAATTCAATACCCTCACAATCGATGAAGCGGAAGCTTTGTTGAGTAAAAAGACCAAAGAATCTAGATGGGCCATGAAAACCCAAGAGAGAAACGAAGCTCAACGTGCAACTCAGGAAAATATCCGGGGGATGAATAAGTTGTATACTGTCAAGACAGAGAGTGCGAGTTTCAAGGGATCGAGCAGAAATGAAACAAGAGATATCGATGAGCTTGATTTTGATGCTGATGATTTGTTTCAGGATGATGATGAGCTTGCCACAGTTGAGCCAGATAGGGATGAAGATACAAAGGATGCCCAGGAAAGAATCAAGCAAGATCAAAGAGGTGCCAACTTGTTTGGTGAAGCAGATGAAGAAACCGTTGAGAAAGACTTCATCAAAGAAGAACAAGAATTGGAGGCAAAGAAGAAATTAGGAAAGGGTGTCCGAAAGGCTTTAACCAAGCGCGAAAAGAATTTCATCTATGATAGTGATTCTAGCAATCCATATGCTTCTTCAGATGTATGCATTTTTCAAAAGCCATTCAATCTACCAACTAACGTCTAATAGAGCGAAGATGATACCTCCGATGAAGAAAAGCAAAAGGAGATCGACAAGAAGAAAGATGAAGAGGCCAAAGCCAAATTAAAGGCCGAAGCAAAGCCTTCAGGTACTTCGTCAAAAGGCAACACCACACCTTCCGGTCGACCTAAGCACACTGATCCTTTGAAGAAATCCAAGAATCTTAAGAGAGCTGGTTCCCCAAACCTTTCAGAATCTAGTGGAAACGAATCTTCCAGAAAGAAGCATAAGAAGAAGCATGTCGGCTCATCGCAACCTACAGGTACATCTACTCCAATTCCAGGTCAACCTCAGAGGAAATCATCTATTGTCAAGATGTCAGTAAATCCAAACGAACTTTCAAGAATCAATTCTTCTACACCCAACCCACAAACTGCCACAAGCGACGGAGAAGCCACAGGCGGTGAGATGTCAGATGGAGCCGGTTCAAAGAAGAAAAAGATCACTCTTCGTATGGGAGGATCGCCAACGACTTCAAGACCTGGTAGTCCAATTCCTGGTAAATCAAGTGGTAGCCGTGCTGGTAGCCCTTCTCAAGGAGCTGGTAAGCATGTATTTTTTTACTCATTGTTCCGCAATTCTTTAGATATTAGACATGTACTAATGATATCACTACAGAAGCTACATCTCCCTCTGGTTCTGGACCAATCACGCCCAAAGATATTGCTGGTCTGCCTTCAACAGGTGTCTCCATTAGTCAAATATTGGCATACTTCCGTGGAAGAGTTGGTGATGGTGAAGGACAGACCACTAAAAAGGAATTTATGGAAATGATCAAGAAATATACTAAATATGGACCTGACAAACTTTTGCGACCAAAAGTTTAGGAAGCATGGCATCATGGTTATTTGAATCTTTTTGGAGAAATGGGTTTCGGTGTCCAAATCTAATCGTGGAGGGAATTTAATGGTGGATAGCGGGTGAGAATGTGAGATGGGAGATGATAAAATATCTTACCAAAAAGGGTGTTTGGTGACATGGATATGAGAGGTACGTACATTGGCCGCTATGGTACATGCAACGAATTTGTTACAATGGCACCGGGGTATTATGATGCATTGGGATGGGAAGGTAAATATCTTTCAAATTGGCGAAGATGGGATGATATTAATTGCAAATACCATTGAGGAAGGGATGAAAAGATTTACTCGTGGTGCTCAAGTATAATATTCATATGTGGTCGATCAGGCCATGTGTGCAAAGTTTTCTTGATGTTCTCAGATGCCATTCACAGTTTGTCTACAACACCTACATAGAATAGGGAAGAAAATGAGAATATGCAGAAATACATGATTTTCATGTTTGTGCCGTGCATTATCATTATCTGAACTCCATTGATCGTCGCTTTCCCGGGGTATACGTAAGTGGCAATTTGTAATATGTAACATAGGTTTAGGTGTCCATCTGCCATTGAAAATCCAAATCCTTATTCCTCGCCCTCCTATTCTCCCCTTTAAACCTCTCTGCCTCCCATCCATTGCCCCTATCTACCCCATCCCATCGATGACCCGGCCGAATGCCATATCTATTCGGCGCTGCCGAACCTTTGTATAATGGTTTTCCCGTCCTACTTTTGCCCTTCTTCTCTTTACTCAAAAACTGCATCGCGGGATCATTCCACCGCTCTACTTCCTTCAATTCCTCATTCATCTCCACATCATCCACCCCCCTCGCCACCGTCATAAACTTCGCTTCATCTAACTCCTCTCTTCTTTTCGCCTTTGCTAATAATTGTATGTCTCCCTTTTGCGCCTCTATTTCTTCCAATTCCTTTCGTGCCTTTTCATCCATTTCTTTCTTAGCTTCAGAACGTCGCATACTTATGTCGATTCGTCGACCCGTTGCATCTCGATAGACAGTTTCTTCTTTCCCTTTACTCTTGCCCGAACCAGATTCGCGCGCCCATTGCGCGGCTTCAACTCGCTTTTTCTTTTCAGCTTGCGCAGCTGCCTCATCGCGAGTTTGAAGCCCGCCGCGGGTCTCTTCAATTGTAGGTTCTTCGTCGGCGTGCAGAGCTGCAGAGTTCTCGGCGGCGGCTTGCTGGATTATCCGGTCTGCTTCGGCGGTGTCTTCATTTTGTGGTTGGAGAGCAGGTACGCCGACAGTTTTCCAAGATGATTTTTTGGATTTGCGAAATTCAGAGCTGCTATGGTTGGTGATCATGGGGGTATCATCGTCGGAGGCATGGTCTTGAGGATTGGACCAGCCGGGAGCATCGTCGTCGGCAATTATGAGACCGGTTTGCGCGGCAGCCTTGCGTTTGCGTTTTTTGTCTTTGGGGGTACTGGAAGAGGGGGTGGAGGCGGTGAGGTAATTTTTGGCGAGATAGGAGGAGAGTGACATGCTGGGTGGTGATGCTTGTGCTGTGAATCCTATGATAGGAGACTGATAATTTCGATAGCTTGAAAGGTGCTATGTAGATAGCGTTCAATGACGCCGGTGTAGAGACCACAATGCGGAATAATGCCTCGGTCTGGTCACAAGCTATACTTGATTTCGACGTCCTAGTATGCTTACTTGCTCGGTTCCAATCTTTTGTGAAGGTAAATAAAGAACTTTGTAAATTTGATGAAAGTTCGGACTTCAAATCTAGCCTGTGTGCGTCAATGCGAGGCTGAGTATAACTTTTAGCCTCATGCGACGTCGCGGCAATTTCGCTTGACATGTACGCTAAAACATTTTAATGGGTCTAGCGCACAATAGCCTTGTCGAGTCATGAGGCGGCCAACCAAAGTGCAGATCTAATAATTTGGTATGAGCAATTGCAAATTGGGGGCCACAAATTGGAAATGTCGTTTCTATTCTTGGATTCCTTCAAGACCAGATACCTGGGTGGTGAGAGAGATTGATAATCAAAGTATCCAATGATGAGCTCCTCATGACATCTGTACCACTGGTTCGTCAGAAGATTCCAATTTTTTATGGCTATATACTAATTGGATGCATAAACATACAGATGTACATTGCCCCTTTCAATCGACTCTCAGACCTATCTATTCTCAAGAGCACAACCATGCGTCCCAGGGACTTGCCACTGCCACTGCCGCTATTGTACGGAACGGTTCACCGGCATTGAGTTCTTTAGCAACTTACAAGTCATTTTCACCACTACACTAGGTATTAAGGACAGCCATTGTATAATACAGTCCGTACACAAATCCGGTTTATCGAGCCTGATTTCCGGAAATCTTGGACCTGAAACATCAAATCCATTCTAAGGGGACGTGTCAACCCCACTGCCAACTTTATGCCGTGAGGTATAACTTCCAGGGGACTTTCCGAGTATGGCAATTCATTCCAAATGGGTATGAAGCTCGTGCTTTACTGTAGATCAGTTCATTACTAGTCCGAAAGTACTCAAAAATCTCTCAATATTCACTTCCCCCATTCCCTTCCAGACCTTTCTCACCAGGTTACATCCAATGATATCAAGTGCTTTGATAGAATGCTATTTTATGTTGTCCGCATTGACCATATTTCTATCTCGACAGTAATCCGATCAAGTCTATGAGAGCAAAGTTGCTGGACGGCTTCTGGAATTTCGTCCGAAGGTACCCCATATTTTTACACAAAATATGGAGATGATGATTTTTCAAGTCAGGTACGGAACAGGGGGCTCCAGTATACGAAAGACACTTTCATTTCGGAGAGTAGATCTACCTTTCTCATTCGAGATGATCAACATGATAGCTTCAACGCTATGCCAAGATTCAAGGGGTGAGAACGTTATGGTCGTCGTCTTTAAAAGATGTTCTCCTCTCCATCATTATTTTACTTTCCAAGCCTGCTTTGCATTCTTTACCACTCTCTTTACGAAAGGTCCTTCTAGGCCTGTTACAATCTTTTTTTTTTTTTTTTTCATATTAAACACATTCATTTTCATTTATTGTTATTCTATCAGTCATGTTTTCATCGTCTCTCGGGACGGCCCTCGTTGGGGCAGTCCTTGCTACAAACGTAGCAGCATATCCACCGGCTTATGCACCTGAAAAGTATTCTGATCGTATAGACGTCGTCCATACTGGTATTTCTGCCGGCGTACACTCTGGTGTGGCTGCAAGACACACATCCCACAAGCAGCTTTGCAGTCATGACATTGGCTGCTCGAGACAGAATGAGGTGTTGTTAGATACGTAAGGGTTGCCAAAGATGATTTCATGTTAGGTTTGTTGCTAACATATTTGTAGTGGAGTCAGTGCCGCATTGGACGTATTTGGTCTTCTTGACCTCGGTCTTGGTGCAGATATCGGGATCAGCTTTGGAAGTGCATCAGGATGCCAAATCAAGTGTGTTGATTGTCGCACATGGGGTACAGCCGTCGTCACCAACACCGTGGCCGAAATTTCCAGCAACATCATCGAAGAGGTGATCGAGTTCTTGGAACGTCCTTACGAAACCATTGTGGAAGCCGCAAGCTTGGAATGTTTGATTTCTTTGGAGGATGTTGGAGGACACATCGAACTCAATGTCTTCGCCGCTGAATCCGCCACTTACACTCTCAATATTTTCGAAGCTGGTCTTATTGCTGATGTTTCTATCCTCGATACTGTCTCGGTTGGCTTGAACGTTTTCCTCGATTTGGTTATCTCCGTCGATGCTCAAGTCGATCTCTCTGCTGGTTTCGAATTCTCCTTCCCAGAAGGTGCTTCCCTTACTGTTGACCTCTTGGCCGGTGCTATCAAGGACTATAACTTCGACGGAGCTGTCATGAATGACCTTCCTATCGTTGTTCTTGCTGGTGAAGCCACATTACAAGCTTCTATTCGCTGCAGAGTTGAGGCTGGTACTACCGTCTCTCTCTTGGGCATTGGATACGGCTTTGAACTTGGTGTCTATGCCGATTTGCTTCAATATGTCACTGAAATCGGTAGCACCGATAATTGTCCACTTTCCATCTCGGGTTCCGTCGATGTCAACATTGGTGCATATGCCGCTTCCGTTGCAAACATCGACTTTGCTGCATTCGAGATTGCACCAACTGCCGCTATCACTGTGAATGCTGGTGCCCTAGCTGCTATTTGCACCACTAGACCAACTTCTACCAGAGCTTTGGGTGCTATTTCCACTGGGTCTGCTTCCAGTGGCTCTGATTCCACTGGCTCGGGTTCCAGTGGTTCGGCTTCCAGTGGCTCTGATTCCACTGGCTCGGGTTCCAGTGGTTCGGCTTCCAGTGGCTCTGGTTCCGACGGTCTTGGTGGTTCGATCTCTATTGGTCTTGGTGGCTCAGGATCTATCGGTCTCGGAGGATCTGGCTCTGATTCCGGTTCGTCAGGATCTAACTCTGATTCCGCCCCATCTGGAACTGGACGTTTCGCGAATGGCACTGCCCTAACTGCTTCCCGACCATCCGGTTCTTCCGCCACTGGATCGTTAATTGGAACCATTACTAGTGCAGCATCTTTGACCACATCTACAGCTTACGCTACCCAAGTTACTACCATTACCAGCTGTGCTTCAAATGTTATCCATTGTCCAGCATCCCTTGCAGGTACCACCGTTGTTACTCAAACCGTTGTCGATTACACAACTGTTTGCCCAGTCACTGAGGCTGGCAACACCGCGTCAGGAGCAATTCCATCAAGCTTGCCATCACTTACTACCACGGCCAAGACCAATGTTGCCCCATCATCTATTCCTGGCACAATCATTCTTACCTCAGTCGCATCAGCAAGCCCATCTACTTTCGATGTCCCAAGCACAACTCCTACCGCTGTCGTTCCCGTCGGTACTGGACCTTCAAGCGTTAACTTGGCATCCATCACCTCCGCCTTATCCAGTGAACTCTCGGGCTCCTCTCCTTCATCAAGTGTGATTGGTTTCGGAAGTGACACTGCTTCAGTTCCTACCCCAAGCAGCACTGGAGAGCTTAGCGGTGAGACCACCTCCCCAGCTGGTTCATCCCCAAGTGCCTCAGGATCAAACGGTTCATCTCCATCAAGCTCTATCGCAACTGGCTCATCCCCAAGTGCATCAGGCTCTGGAAATTCTGGAAGCGGCTCATACCCAAGTGGTTCTCCATCTGGAAGTGGTGCCTCTCCAAGTGCTTCCGGCTCAAACGGCTCTTCCCCAAGTGCCTCGGGACCAAACGGCTCTTCCCCAAGTGCTTCGGGATCAGAAAATGGTTCATCTCCATCTGGCAGCGCCGCTGCATCTGCTCCATGTGTTTCATCAGGCGCTCTTCTCTCTGGTCAAACTGCTTGCCCAGTTTCTGGCTCTACTCCACCTCAAACCAGCTCTGGTGAACTCAGCGGACTTTCCACCGCCCCAGCTGGATCTTCTCCATCATCTGTCGCTTCCGGTTCATCCCCAAGCGCATCTAACGGAGCTTATCCATCTGGATCAACCGGTTCATCCCCAAGTGCATCTAACGGAGTTTATCCATCTGGATCTTCGCCCAATGCTTCGGGATCAAACCAACCTTCTGCCAGTGGTTCATTGCCAGCCGTTTCTTCCAATGGATCTTCTCCATCCGAATCTGCCAACGTCTCAAGCCCATCTGGTACTACCGATTCCAGTGGCGCTAGTGTCACTGGAGGTTCTTCTCCATCTGCCTCCTCATCCGAAACTGTTTACACAACCGTTATCGTCGATTCGTACACTACTGTTTGCCCTGTTACCATGACACAAACTAGTGGAGGTGTAACAAGTGTTTTGACCACTTCTACCATTTCAACTGTCTATAGCTCTTCCACCATGACTGCCACCAAGACTTTTGTCGTGAAGCCATCTGGTTCATCTCCATCTGAATCCGCTCAAATCACTGGCCCAGCTGCTTCGTCACCAGGATTCTCATCTGAGACTGTTTACACTACCGTTATCGTTGATTCATACACCACAATCTGCCCAGTTACTTTGACTCAAACCTCTGGAGGAACCACTAGCATTTTGACTACTTCTAGCACCTCCACAGTCTACAGCTCATCAACCGCTACTGGTACACGTACTATCACGGTTGCACCTTCCGCAACTTCCGATTCCGAGGGTGCTAGTGTCATTCCATCTGGTTCTGCTCAAGTTACTGGCCCAGCTATCTCTTCTCCAGTTCAATCTTCCGAAACTGTCTACACAACCGTCATTGTTGACTCCTACACCACAATCTGCCCAGTTACTTTGACCCAAACTACTGGAGGAGCCACCAGCGTTTTGACTACTTCTAGCATCTCCACTGTTTACAGCACCTCCACTCTTGTTGGTACTAGCACTGTTGTCGCGACCCCAGTAGCCTCCGTCCCAGCTGTCTCTGCTCCAGCTCAATCTTCCGAAACTGTCTTCACAACTGTCATCGTTGACTCTTACACTACAGTTTGCCCAGTAACTCTCACCCACACCAGCCAAGGTACAACCAGCTTTGAGACAACCACCAGCTTGTCCACTGTTTACAGCACCTCCACTCGTGTCGCTACTAGCACTGTTGTCGCGACCCCAGTAGCTTCTGCTCCAGGTTCATCGGCGCCAGCACCATCAGCACCAGCACCATCTGCCCCAGCAGGTTCTGATGCATGCTCCAATGCCTGCAACACTGAGTACAACACCTGTCGAAGTGCTCCAGATGCAAACCGAGCCACTTGTGCTTCTAAGTATGCATCATGCCTCGGATATTCTCCGTTTGATAACAGCGGATCACTTGTCACCCCAACTGCTTGCTCAGTAGCATCGACACCAGCAGCTTCCGCTCCAGTAGGCTCCGTCCCAGCTGTTTCCCAAGGTGTTTCTACCGAACAACTTTACAGCACAGTCTCCGTCCAATCATACGTTACTGTCTACCCAGTAACTTTGACCCAGACCAACGGAGGAGTCACCAGTCTTGAGACAACAACAAGCTATGCGACAATTTTCCAGTCTTCCACCATCTATGCCACTAGAACAGTTGCCATTAAAACACAAGGAACTTCTACCCCAAGCGGTTCTGTCGTTGTTCCACAAGGTAGCGCACAAGCATCCGGACCAGCCCCATCATCTACTTTTGACAATTCTGGTGTCACTGCTCCATCTCCATCTGCCTCTGTCGTTTCCAGCAACGGTGTCCCTGTCGCTTCTCCTCCAGCTTCTACACAAACTGGATCTAACTCAGGAAACTCTGGAAATGGATCCCCATCTGTTGTTGCAAGTTTGAGTGCCACAACCGGTAGCCCATCCTCCGCTATCAACACTAACAGTGGAGATATACTTTACAGCACTGTAACAGTTGTTCCAGTTGCTAGTCAAGCAGTCAGCTCAGCTCAAGGTTTGACTACACCTGCACCAGCAACTGGTTCCTCTCAACCATTGACCTCTGCCATTGGTGTATCTGGAAGTGCAGGTTCTGAAGAATGTGCTCAACCATCTGTTATCACCATTTCTGCTTCTCCTTCTATTCTCACTGTTGTAAGTTTTCCCTTGTGATTTTCTTTCAGTTCTACAGCTAATCAAACATAGACTCAATCTGCATCCGTCATTACCATCATTCAAACTGCCGGTGCTAGCTCTCCATCTGGTGTTGCTTACCCAGGGTCTCCTGAGAACTCTACCGTCTCTGGTCTCCCAGGTAAGGCTGTTTCAGTCTCATCTTCTCAGGGCATCACCATCGCTTCATCGACTATGATTGTTCCAGGTTCAGGTGCATCATCCACTATTGTTGTACCAGGAGCTATTCTCCCCACTGGATCTCAAGTCTACCCAGTTGGTTCATCCACTGTTGTTGTACCAGGAGTTGTTACCCCTACTGGATCTGGATCTGAAGTCTACCCAGTTGGTTCATCCACTGTTGTTGTACCAGGAGCTATCGCTCCCACAGGATCTCCAGTCTACCCAGTTGGCTCATCCAACAACGGTACCTCTGGACATTATGCTAGTGGAACAAGCAGTAACAAACCCACTCAACCAACCTCTTCTGTCACTGTCACTGGCATCACTGCCGCAAGTGGATCAGCGACTGCATCCCCAATCATGGTTATCACTGGTTCTGCTAGCCGTTCTAGCATCTCCATGGGATTGATTGCTGTCATTATGGGCGCTGTTGCTCTTTTGTAAATTAGGTGATTGAAAAAAGGTGGATAGTATATGAGTGGTATGAACTGAACTGGAGGGTTTCCTATGTTTGAACGAGGTATGGATACTGTTGAGTATCGTGTACAGTATTTTAATGTAATTTTTATTCAAAAATAAATTACGGAGAGAAGATTTGTTGTATAGACACTTCTTTTCGTCCAGTAGATAGTCAATACATATTTGACAAACTGTACCATTATGGTTTTCTGGGATTGTTTTTCGTGACTGTCTTGTATAAGAGAGAGTATAAATGTATGGGATGATTGTATGAATTGAGATGATTACTATATAAACTATAACAATCATATAAACTAAGATATTAATATAAAAACTCAGGTCGGATAATTATCAATCATCAATCATTAATCAAAAATAGATGGATAGATATCTAGATATCTGAATAGATAAGATAGTAATTAGAATATATAATCAAAAGCTTACTTTACTTTACTTTACTTTACTTATAAAAGAAGAAAAAGGGGGAGGAGGAAGAGGAAGAGGAGGAGGGCAGTTAGTTAAGTTAGTTACGTTACACCGTAAACTATCTTGTAATCATATCTACCTAGGTATTTACTCTTCCTCCCTCTCTCTCTCTTTTCGAATTCCTCCCGAAACCGAAACGAAATACTTTAAAAATAATACCTAGTATAAAAACAATTTTATATAAGTATATCTTATTATATCTTATTATATCTTATTATATCTTATTATATCTTATTATATCTTATTATATCTTATTATATCTTATTATATCTTATTATATCTTATTATATCTTATTATATCTTATTATATCTTATTATATCTTATTATATCTTATTATATCTTATTATATCTTATTATATCTTATTATATCTTATTGTATCTTATTATATCTTATTATATCTTATTATATCTTATTATATCTTATTATATCTTATTATATCTTATTATATCTAATATCTTATTATATCTAATATCTAATATCTAATATCTAATATCTAATATCTAATATCTAATATCTAATATCTAATATCTAATATCTAATATCTAATATCTAATATCTAAATCTATTTACCCTCTCTCCCTCTCTCCCTCTCTCTCAAAACAAAACATAATACTTTAAAAACAACAGCGTAAAAACAACGGCATAAAAACAATATTATATTATACTATATTATATCTACCTATCTATTTATCTATTTATTTATTTATTTATTTATTTATTTATTTATTTATTTATTTATTTATTTATTTATTTATTTATTTATTTATTTATTTATTTATTTATTTATTTATTTATTTATTTATTTATTTATTTATTTATTTATTTATTTATTTATTTATTTATTTATTTATTTATTTATTTATTTATTTATCTATCTATCTATCTATCTATCTATCTATCTATTTATTTATTTATCTATCTATCTATCTATCCATCTACCCATTCATATACCAGCCTACTCATCTAAAACAACCAATCACATTCAACAATTCTATAATGTAATATAACAATACAAAACAATTCACACTACCCACACAATAAAATTTCCTCAAGTTCCTAAAGATCACAATTCAAAATTGAGAATTATACATTCATTTAATCTACTCTTTCCTAAGCTAATACCCCTTCAAGTACAAAGGGTTGCCTTATCCTTTCGCTTCACAGCATCCATCCATCCAAGTTACTTGATATACTTTACAAAAGAAAAGAAAAAAGAAGAAATGCCATTCCCAGACTAAGTCGAATTTATCCCCAACATTCAACTTCAATCAAATGCAGAAATCCCCTCCATCCAGCCGTTTACGTGAGCCCTCACGCCATGCCCCCGCTGTGAACAAAAGAGAGAAAGAGAAAAGAGACCAAAAGGAAAGACCAAAACATTTTACAAAAACAAGGATTGTTTCAATTCAAAACGACAATCTTTTTAAATCCAATCCATTTCAAGATTTTTTTAAGAATAACGCCAGGCTATGCTGTCAACCTATTACATATTTATCCATAGTATCCAGAGTTCCTCTGTCCTCCTTGCGCTGGCGGATATTGAGGGAAATATTGCTGTTGTTGAGAATATTGATGAGGGGAAGCTTGATACCCAGGAGAGTATGATAAGGTTGGTTGGTATTGTCCAGGAGAGTGAGCCATAGTTGTTTGATATTGTCCAGGCGAGTGAGCCAATGTTGGTTGATATTGTCCAGGTGAGTGTGCCAAAGTTGTTTGATATTGCCCTGGTAATTGCGCTGGTGTTGTCCATGCCGCTGCCTGAGGGAAGTTTGGCCCCATCCATGAACCTCTCTTACTAGGTACTGCAAACTGTGATGGTGAATAGTTGGTGTTAGCATACTGGGACTGGCGACGGTTCTGCTCAGTTTGTTGCAAAAGACGAGTTTGTTCAGCTAATTGTTGATCAAGGCGACGTTGTTCAGCTTGCTGCTGCTGCTGCTGTTGCTGTTGCTGAGCCAATTGTTGTTGACGAAGTGCAATTGCATGCTGTACCGACTGAGATTTGAGTCCTTGCTTGACATGTTGCTTTTCCTTCTCACGCGAACCAATAGCTCCAACGAGACCAGCAGAAACAACGTTATCTTTGTTAGTATTCTTAGCCATGGCAATGAGGGGTCCACCAGTCATTTTAGCAACAAAAGCTTGCTCTCGAGCAGAGAGATTTGTTGTAAGGGTGCCATTTCCAGAGGCCCCTAAAACTCTGTTTGCACCTCTCGAGCTTGGACGTAAAAGATCAGCTGAGCTGTGACGTGCATGTTGCTGTTGACCATACACCTCAGCAGAATTTAATAGATCTGTTGAGTTACGACGTGAGTTACGGTTTTGACCATATCCTTCATTGAAATTTAACAAGTCTGCTGAGCTATGGCGTGAGTGACGATTTTGACCATGTCCTTCATTGAGATTTAATAAATCTGCTGAGCTATGGCGTGAATGCTGACCTATCAGTGCACTGGAACGCTTAGAAGTTTGACCTGGCGTAGGGGAAGGGGTATATCGTCCAGGTGTAGGGGAAGGCGTGGCGCGTGCAGGCGTAGGAGAAGTGGCACGTAGAATGTTGCCTGAAGGCTGACGTTGGTGGATATATTGCGGTGTGGCAGCAGCAACCATGGAACGCTGCTGAACATACTCTTCCGCCGTCAAACCTTGTTTGTGGCCAAAGGTATTGTTAGCAGCGGTTGCACTCATTCCAGGTTGCCAAGCTAGTGCATTGCCGCTAGGAGATCTTTCATGACTTGGACGCTTTTCAGGACTTGAATGATTAAAATTATTCTGTTTAGGAGGAGGACTTGGAGATTCTTGACCGGGTGCTCGATTGAGATCAAAGGTAGGACCAAAATCAATATCAACTCCTTTTGACAATGTGTTTTCGTCACCATAAAGTGGCTGCCCAACTTCGATATTGCCGATGATCTTCTTCTTCCCTGCTCGAGGCTTTTCGACAGACTCTTGCGTGCGTACAGATCGCACAGACTTTTTGGTACTGGCATAATCCGGGGTACCAGTTGATGCAGCGTCGTCATATGCACTACTTAAATCACTATTGTGTCTATTCATCTGGGGAAGCTTAAAGTCGTCTGCTTTAGGCAATATCAAATCGAAAGCACCTGAATCGAGAATATGTTGAGTCAAGCTCCCAGAGCTAGAAGGTGGATGCGACGAATTAGGGCTTGATTGGTTCTCTTCTTGTGTAGGAAGAGGCTTTCTTGAGATGCTTTGGCTGGTCTGTAGACGAGATGGTTGGCTAGAGGGGTTCTTTGGTGGGAGCATATCGTTTGAGAGATTTGGTTGTGATCTTGAATTAAAATTTGTATTATTAGATTGATAGTGTTGGTTTTGATACGGGATTTGATCGCGGTTCGAGGGAAGAGTGGACTCTTGTTCGTTACGAGGTTCGTAGGTTGCTACGATGCCTTCATTAATGATGTCATGGTTAGCAGGCATATGGTGATATCTGGTGACGTCTGACAGTACCCCTCTACCTTGATCTTCATCCTCCTCTATTCTATCATGCGTTTGAGCATTCAATCCTCTTCGGTCTTGACTTTGGTAAGTGGCTGCAGCACCGGCAGCACCAGTTAACTGAGATAATGTTGCGGTAGACATGCGATTATTCGCTTTTCGAAGATCTGTTGATTGCAGGGGTTTGCTGGGGGGTTTAGCGCCCGGCGCGTGTTTGAAAGCTGGGGGTGCAGCTACAGGTTCTGGAACCGTAACCGTTTGCAATTCTTGTAGTTCGCGAACTGGAGTTGCACTGGCTGCTTGCTCATCTTCTGAACTGAGGCGGTCGGGGGAAGGTGTAGCATCTCGTACGCATTTCAAACCTGAGCCAGTGTGCAGTGGGATAGGAGCAGGTTCAAAAGCTCCATCAAAGACAGAAGGATTTTGATTCTGATCACGGCTGGGTGGTTGAGATTCAGATATTGACCTTTGATGAGACGCTCCTGAGGTCTTTGGCTGTTGAAATGCAACAGGTGCCGAATCAGTTCTAGGGAGACCGCTATAGCCAACATCTCCCGCCGGACGGGCACCAAACTGTATCGATGGTGATGATCTGACCGATGCTGCATCGTCAAACTGAAGGCGAGTCCGAGGATTTCCTACACTATTGCGACTTCTTCTACTGCCGTACTGGCTATTTCTTTGGCTGTTGTTTCTGAGAGTCACCATTCGCTTCGCTGTCAAATCTTTCATTCTTCCTCTCCATTCAGATTCTAGCCAGTTAGCGCTACCTTGCTCCGATATTAGACTTGAAACATCGAGGGTTTCTAAATATCCATATCTTCGGTGTTCTGGCATTGCAAACATCAAACTTCTGGTGTCATTTGTCTCTGCAATCAAACGACCAGGACGTCCATACAGACCAAACGTATCGTAGACCGGGAAAAGCCAACGGAGCATCATTTCAAAGCCACTTACAGCCGGATGTACCTCGGGCATGACAAATACGAATCCTTCAGATGTCAAAGGGGGGTTTGAGTGAATCGTAATAGATCCTTCAACCTTGACTAAAGTGGAAGCATCTATGAGTGGTTTGGATTGAGGATATATGGCAAACGCCGAATATGCATCGTTGATCGTAGCGATTGGTCGAATTTTTTTCGTCCTCTTGGAATCATAAAATTTGATGTCGCCTTTCAATATAGGGGGTCGGGAGCGATCATATGCCGACCTCTTCTTTTGCGATTGCTTTTGTAGTCGCTGGACTTCCTTTTCATCGGGTGGAGTGATTACGCACCAACATCGTCTCCAAGGCGTTCCAGCGCCAAATCTCACTCGGGCCCAGTCTGCAGTTTGGATCCTTGAGCGCTCCATGATGGGTCTGATATTGTTTAATAATTTACCCTTACCAGCAATGAGCGCACCTGTGTAGGCTTCTTGTAATGACGCATGCTCAAACATACAGAGACGGATACCGGCGGTCCATTGAACCAACGAGTGATGTGAATTGAAGTGCAATAGGTATCTATTCTTACCAGCTGTGGATATGCTGAGGACATTCTGCAAAGGTGCTTCTGTGGGTGACCTTGTGGGAAGGGATTCGATCTATAGACTATTAGTAGGTGGAATCATACCAATTTTGAGAAGAGTAGAAGTAACCATTTTGATCGAGGCATCTGTGAGATTGATAAACTTTGGGAGGACCTCTCCGTCTTGCCCAGCAGCATCTAACTCTGCTGCATCCCACAATGAAAGGATAGTTCCCACAAGCTGTGCAAAACACTCTGTCCAGGTTCGGTCGGCATTGGCCTTGCCGTCTGCATGATGTTAGATTAACATGCTCTACCAATGTAGAAAATAATACGTACGGATGTTTTGATCATCCAATTTCAAGAAATACCCTTCCTGGTACAATTTGTTGCTGTGACTATTCAAGAATGTGAAAATTGGTTGTAGTTCCGGCAAGGTATCTTGGTTCACATCCATCAGTGGAGGCTGAAAGGTTTGTGCCATAGACGTTGGTCTAGAAGATGCTCGTTCCCTTGTTCGAGTCGGCTGAGGAGATGCGCGAACTTCGCTCAAAGGCGATTCCTGGTGAGAGGATATTTGGAAGCTCGAAGTTGGAAATGGCTCTCTTCCCGAGGACGACTTTCCTGTATCTTGGGACCCTTGCTGTGTGTAGGATTCGGTTCGACTTCGTGCTCGGCCTGTAGATGGAGGTGGTCGAGTAGGGCTATTAGAGTCTCTGTCCCTAAACTGGGACATGAACGACATAACTAAGGGAAGGAGCTATTTAGCAATGGTTGACTTGTAAATATGGTGGCGCATTCCAACGTACCTCGATTTCGGCCCATTTTGAATGAATTAATTTGCTTTGAATAATAGTAAGTTGGGAAATCTATCAATGAAGCGGTGATTCCGCGAGCTCCGGATGAACCTTCGAATTGATATTGGTGGACTTATGACATGTACAATCTAAGAAGTGTTCTGTGTTTTGTTCTTTCTTTGTCGGACTGTTGATTATATAACAGCACAATGATTCCCAATTTTTATAAGCCGGCGGCAAAGGAAGCTCGAAAGGCTGCAAACAGAAGATGGATGAATTGAAGCAAAATACAAGATACAAAAGAATGTAAAGATTGAATTGGGAGTATTGTGATTAATGTTGAGGAATGATGAATAATTTGGGGAAAAGCAGGTGAATAATGTACTGGTATGCGTACTAATTCATGTACCTGCTTAGCATCTTGTTTTATTTTTGGGGGGATTGGCGGGATCTGGGGGACGTCACTTTTGTGAGACCAGGGAATGATGAGAGGGAGGATAAGAGGCGGGAGAGGTCCGACTACCGATGCTCAAAATAGAAAGAAAGAGAGAGGGAGAGAGAGAGAGAAGAGTAAAAAAATATACGAGAGGAAATTGTGTGAGAAGTCTAAGATGTAGTTTAGTTTAATAAATGTGTAGATAAAGCTAGAGGAAGAGAATCGAAAATGAAATGGAATATATATTCAAGAAGAACGAAGAACGAAGGTCGAAGGTCACAGTCAAAGTCAAAGGTCGAGAAAGGGTTGAAAAGATGAAGAGGTTGGTTGGTAGGAGGAAGTGGAAGAAGTGGAAGAAGTGAAAGAAGTGAAAGAAGTGAAAGTGGTCAAGAGAGCACCAGATTGAATAGCTACTGGGTACCTAGGTCGGTAATCTTGGAAAACAATAGACAATATTCAGAATCTGGGGCCAAATGATCATAAGGGGGACTTTATTTGGGAGTGAAGGGTTCAAATTGATTTCACGGCGTAATTCGTTTGCATCACATGAAATGATTCAATTACGAGGTCTCATATCTCATATCTCATATCTCATCAAATGGACGGAAGGACCGGACGAAAAAGGAACATGTGCATTGTGTAGGAAGGGGGTGAAGATAGACAGACATAGACAGGTAGGTACATACATTACATACATTAAGAAAGAAGGCATTGTAGCTATCGAGCATCTATCACATCAACAACACATACAAACTATCCTCATCTGGTAGCGGCGAGCATGTATCATTGACCCTTTGTCTGTCGATTGTTAAACAGAGTCAAGATGTGGCTCCCAGACTTGGATCAAGGTTTGGAACTGTTGACAAATTCCAAGTATGTATGTGTATGCATCTAGGTACGAGGTATGTAAGATCTTACTATCTCCTGCATTGGAATTTCCCTTATTATACGATACCTCCATTCATTGTACATCTCTACTCGAGTAGTACATCTCTAGCACAGCTGCACAGGACGATTGTGCTCTATCCATGCTCTATCCATGCTAAGAGGAAAGCATCCTACTACCGGTAGTACCATTCACCGGTCTTGGCTAACTGCTATAACTACCTAGTAGGTACTAATACTCACCTGGCACTACGAACTTGGAATCCTCAACACATGGACGCGTCATTTTTCTCTTTCCCCAAATAAGGTTAGCGTGCGTACTCGTACGATACACTCACTCACTTTGCTAATGCTTTGGTAATGCTCATTATCATTGGGCCTTTCCATCTCAACACGCGCTGGGAAACGAGTGAAAGTGTCAAGTGCTGATCTGATCGCCTGTACCTGCAAATCCTTAACTTTTCACCGGCGTGTCTGCGTGCTTTTCTTACTCCAAGACCCCTCAAGACGAGGAGCAATAATACGAGATCGTAACGCCGAGCATACCTTAATTGGTTGATATTGAACCATCACAATCTACCTAGCAGCCAAAGGGGGCCCAGGTACCTCTGCAAGCGGCTCTCTCAGCTCGTTTATCGGGTATCGAATCCATCAATTAATTGGCAATGAGTGGCTGTGTGAGAGAGAGAGAGAGAGAGAGAGATTCTAAGAGATTTTTCTACTTAAACACCGACTCCGTAATAACTTTCAATATCTCCAATATCTCCAACATCTCCCATCTCCCATCTCCCATCTCCCATCTCCCATCTCCAATGTCAAATCTCCAATCTCCAATCTCCAATCTCTTTCCATATCTCTCAATGTCTCCAGTCTTTCTGAAACGTTATGATTACCAAACTATGTGAGTGAAATCTGGCCCAAGCTCTTACCTACATACATACAAACTCTCTCTCTTGAGTCTCTTCCCTCCATAGACACCAATCAATTTGTCCGAGAAAGTCCTTCGCGCGGAAAGTTGCAGTACCCGTGGACCACCGTAATACGAAGAATTTATCCCTTTTGGTCCGGAAGAATATAAAACATGCCTGCGGTGATCATCCTTTTAGGCTTGACAACGCAAATCAAAAGAGAAGCACCTTCACATTCAGCCGAATTCTCCGGATCATGCAAGATTATGTTCAAAGGACAGCACAGCCGGTCCAGACACTCACTAATCGCTGCAGGCCAAGTCAAGCAAAGGCAACGCAGATATCAATTCGTCGCTTCATTCATTGTCATGGTCATGGTCATGTAGAAAGTAAGCACGTGGTAGATTTGCATCGATGTATCACCATATGATAAGCAGTGAATGGTGAACATGTCAATTTCTTTACGAAATCAATCGATCCATGGATTCAGATTGTTTTCCGTCTTTCACCCACTCTTGATTCAAATTCCTCCCCAGTAGACTTGGTGATCCTTGCATGCTCCACACAAATTGTCATTATCCACAGCCATATTCAGCCTTAAGAAATCTATATTTATGGCACGTGTCACGTGTCTAATACGTACCTGATTCGTTATCGCGGTTGGTCCATTGAACAATGAAGGTTCTTATCGTCTAGAGTGCAATTTTTGTGAAGGAGTTTCTCGGTTTGTATCCCGACAACTTCCATCAACTCGACCACGAGGTAATTCTTCACCTCTGTGCATCAATCACGACGCTGGGATGAGGAGGTCGATTTGTCGAACACACGTTGCGCAAGCTATACACAATCAATCCCGTCGTACTCTCATTCACAGTTCTCCGAGATGGCGCCCTGAATTGGCATTTTCCACATCTGCAGATGTCGATATACCACCATTTCGAAAAGAATCCCTTCCATTTAAATTCGAAACTGGACTTGCCTTATTTGCCAAGAGAAAGCCTCGACCCTTTCCTCCTCCATTTCTATCTCCTCCATCAGGTTCCTTTTCCGATCCGTTGAGTACTCATCATCGGAGTCGCGATAGAAGACCTTCGGTGAACGGCGAGGTGATCAGAGGATATACAAATGGCGATGATGCGGTTTACTCAAGTGACTACTTTATTGGCGCAAACGATGGTGTCGGCGCCTGGTCTACAAGAGAAGGTGGTCATGCAGGGTTGGTGGCTTTCTGAAATCACAATGGACCTTGGAGTGCTAACGTATCGTCAGTTTATGGTCAAGGCTAATATTACACTTCTGGGCTGCGGAAGTAGAGAACGACGCAAGAAGATCTCGACCTGCAGGAAAGTACTTCGAGCCGAATCCTATTGATTATCTACAAAAGGCATATGAGCAAACTATTCAAGCGACTGCGAGTCCGAATAAATGGCAAGGCACAACTACGGCTACCGGGGCACAATTGCATTATAAATTGGATGATACCGATCCTACTGCGCCCGCGACTCCTCTTCTATACGTTACCAACATTGGCGACTCACAAGTACTAGTCATAAGACCGAAACAGGAGGAACGTATTTTCAAAACTACAGAACAATGGCATTGGTTTGACTGTCCTCGACAACTCGGTACAAATAGCCCCGACACGCCTGTTAATAATGCTGTTATGGAGAAGGTTGAAATTGAGGAAGGTGATGTCGTTCTTGCCATGTCTGATGGCGTAATTGACAATCTATGGGAGCATGAAATAATTGAAAGTGTTGTAAGCAGTATTCGTAAGTGGGAGCGAGGTGAGGGAGGTATAGGTACTGGAGATCGACAAGGTGGTGCTGGAGGTGGTATGAAATTTGTAGCCGATGAGCTCATGAAAGCTGCAAAAGTGATCGCGCAAGATCCTTTCGCAGAGAGTCCCTTCATGGAGCACGCTGTCGAGGAAGGTCTTGCTATGGAAGGAGGTGAGTAACAAGAGGCTGAAAGGTATACCATTTACTAATTGATTGTTAGGTAAACTAGACGACATAAGTGTAGTTGCAGCTCTATGTAAACGCAGTAACGGATGAAGTGAAGTAGTTGTATAGGTTGAATTATCTGGGGCATATAAGATATGACCTCGGGATTGAAGTGATTAGAAGCTGTTCATGCAATAGCAACTCGCGCCAAGAGGCATATAGAGACAGTTGTTTAGGGGGAAGAAGAACACCAAACGGAATATCTCGATTTGCAAGGGATGGAAATCGTGACAAGAGATGGCCAGAGTAAGGAGGTTCGCGGGTGGGAGGAATACATGGCGTACGAACCATCTATGTAATAGGTATTCTTATTTAGGCAGTATATAGACTTTTGTACATTCATATAATATCAAGTAGAGACTTTGAAAGTACTCCTAGGTATCCTTTGGTTCTAGACTTGTTGGCTTAGCATGGCTAGCAACAAATACTAGGAAGCCATTGGGTCATTGGGAAAACCCACCCTAGTTCCCGATAAGTCCTTATCGTTAAATTTATCCGATAAAAAAATTATCAATCTTCATCATCACATCTCTTACCATTTACCAAACTCAATCAATTGACCCTCAAATTAGTTTGGCGAATTCAAAAACATGAGAGGAAAAAGAGCGAAGCAATATAAAAAGCTCATGCAGCAATATGGCATGAGCTTTGGTTTCCGTGAAGCATATCAAGTACTTCGTGAGCTCCCCAACGTTGCGCATCAGTACTATTGCTCGTTTTCAATGACTGACTTTCTCTCTCAACAGTTGACGCAGAGATTATTAAGGATGCTGATAGATTCAAGATGGACTTGGTCGGGGGTTTAGAGCGAACACTTCATGGTCAAGTTAAGCCTAGTATGTTCATATACCTTTACGTCTTGTCGCATCAATTGTTAACGCACATTAGTGATTACACAATGCTCAATGCGCCATTTATATGCTGCTTCATCAGAACCAGGAGTTTCCTATCTCATCGACAAAGCAAAAACCTACGAGCGACGCCGTTGCGGTCATCTCCCAGAAGATTATCCCGAACCTCTCTCTGCCCGTGATTGTATCAAAGCAGTCGTTGACGGCAAAGACAATGGAACCAATAAACACAGATACGTGGTAGCAAGTCAAGATATAGAAGTGAGGAAGGCGATGAGGGCAATTCAGGGCGTACCTTTGGTTTACATCAACAGGAGTGTTATGATTATGGAACCTATGGCAGAAACATCTACAGAGACGAGAGATAGAGAAGAAAGGTCGAAATTTAGACAAGGCATTAAGTCAGGAAGAGCTTCAGGAAGTCTCAAGAGGAAGAGAAATGAAGGCGATGAGGACGATGACGAAGAATCAGCAAAGAAAGATATGGGTGTATCGGAAGGTGTTGCGAAAAAGAAGAAGAATGCACCAGGACCAAAAGGACCCAATCCATTAGCAATGAAGAAGAAAAAGAAGGTCGAGGGAGAGAGTACGAAGCCTAATGCGTCAACCAAAGTGGCTGATGCCAATGATACGGGAGCGGATGGTTCAGAACCTGTCAAACGCAAACGAAAACGTCTACACTCGAAGAAAAAGGCAGAGGATGGAGCTGATGGGGAAACGACCATTTCAAGTGAGAAAATGGATGAAACAGTTTAACATATACAGGAATATCGAGCAGAATGTTACATATAAATTAATTACAATTTTAGAATGATACCCAAAGAATCGGAATTGAGCTGCATGAGTATGGCTGTTGAAATTACAGTAATAAAGAAATCGGGGAGCACGATATTACGATTCCAATTCGTCATATAGGTAGGTCGCATTTGACCGACCCCCTGGATTACAGAACAAAGAAGATGGACCCCAAACTACATATCAAGTAAAGGTCGAATCTATTTAAAGTAGAGCAACATAATGATTCCTCAAAAGTTACAAGTCCTCAAAAGCATTTAAACCTTCACTGCCCATAAGCAATAAGCAATAAAACATCTGAATCATTACTATACCCTTACCCGTTAGAAAGCACGTTCCAATCGTTTACTGGTTCACTCACTGAGGAAGTGCATCGGTCATTCCCAAATCCCCAAATCCTAGTCAACTAGACGGTGTCTGTGTGTACGGTGTGTACGAAATCCATACAAAGCACAGAGCATCGACCTCGGAACACTTTTGTGCTTCAGAATCCATGGATCCGCGCAAGAACACATTTAACGGTTGAACAACGAATGTCTAAGTGACGTTAGATGATTTATCTGTTAGAGACGCCACCTGCCCTGTGAGTCAAGGTGGTGGTCGAAGTGCTAGGAACAATATGCCACAGAGTGATGAGACCACCACAAATGCTAAGGAAGATGGCATTGTGGGACCGGGTACAGCTGTTCAAAATGGACCTGCAGAACTGGATGACTTCGGATTACCCCTCAAGAAGAGAGTTGTTCCAGAACCGGTAGCATACGATGAAGATTTGGAGAATGTCGAATCGGAGGATAAGTCGAGTGTCGCAGAAGATCGGAATGCTGAGACTCAAGAGAATGGATTGAAGAATGCGGATGTTGCTAAGGGAGACGCAGAAAAGGCAGACGGTGTAAAGGATAATGGGTCAGATAAGGAAGAAGAGGAACTCAAGGTTGTGCAAATAACGCCATCACCTGCGACCACGAATCCAGAACCTCAAAAACCTCGCGAGACAACTCAGAATGAGGACTTGCCAGCTCATGGACATCCGGCTCCTCGACAAACAATCGAAGATATCGAATCCACAAGTAAAGAAGCTCTGGCGGAATCGTCGGAACCTGCGAAGCCTGCAGAAGAGCCAAAATCTGCAGAAAGTTTGGAGAATACTAGTGGCAACAGTAACAGCAATGCGGTTCCCGCGGTGAATAACAGGAATAGTCGGATGGAACCAAGTCAGGGAACCAGTCAGGGAATATCAGAATGGTCGCATCAACATACCACTGTACCTGATCCAAAAAGCCCACCTCAAGAAGATGATGAATGGCAAACAATGCCAGCGTATGCTCCGTACGATATTTACGATGATGATAATAGGTTAATTGCAAAGGAGGCACACGAATCTGATGAAGAACCGGATGCATATGCAGGGTTGGGTGGTGCCGGCAGAGGATATACTAGAGTTCAACTAGACGAAGATGCTCAATCTGCGACGAGTTTGGATGAAAATACACAATACCTTTTCAAAGATGTTCATGGCACTGGAGCTGGAGAAGTGGAAGATGAGGAGCAGCGAGATGCAGTGTCTCAAATGCAAGCTACGAAGGATCTTTTAACGGAAGGGCAAAGAATTGCATATGTTGGCATGACTCGACTTATCCTTTCTAAAATGCTTGAACAACAAGAATCATTGGTGTCAGCAAAGAAAGGAAACAAGAAAGAATTGCAAGTTTCAGCCGAAGCTATGAAAATGTGGACTCAAAAAATGATGGTTCGGCTATATGCGCATATGGAAATCAGTACAGATGAACAGATCATGATTGAGCAATTGGCTGAACATGGAGTAGTCCCTTCCGATCTGACAGGGACTCTCATGCAAAATGCACGAGTAAAGAATCCTATGGCCGAGAAAGCTCATTCAAGTAAAGACTCGGTTGCGTCAGGTAGAAGTCCTAGGGAATCCATCTCATCTCCGCGATTACCACGAGAATCCATACAGTCTCCACGCTTACCACAATCACCTTTGAGTCCACAAACTCCTCGACGATATGATGAGGAAGAATCGGCTGCTGTACCTCCACCATACCAAGAGCATGGTGGCGAAGATTTACCCGAAGTTCGAACTCCTTCACAACTTCCCACTACTAAGAACATTGATATCGATCTTCGCTGGACTGTTCTTTGTGACCTTTTCTTGACTTTGATTGCGGACTCTGTTTATGATGCACGATCTAGAACTTTATTAGAAAAGGTTGGTGATAATATGGAAGTTTCCTGGTTAGAAATCTGTCGTTTTGAGAAACGAGTAACAGATGCCTTGGAAATGCAACAAGCAGCCGAAAAGGAGAACTGGAATGAGGATGATCATAAAGAGAACAGGAGGAAAATGGCTCTCAAGAAAAGATATTTGATGATGGGTCTTGCTACCGTTGGTGGAAGTTTAGTTATTGGACTTTCGGCAGGTCTCTTGGCACCTGTTATCGGAGCAGGTCTCGCGGCTGGTTTCACTACAATCGGTGTAGCAGGTACTAGTGGCTTCCTTGCTGGTTCTGCAGGTGCTGCTATCATCACAACGGGTGCTGCCACTTCAGGTGGTTTTATTGCGATCAAAGCTGCAAATCGTAGAACTGGAGCAGTCAAAACCTTTGAGTATAGGCCATTGCATAATAACAAGCGAGTCAACTTGATCATCACAGTCTCGGGATGGATGACGGGTAAAGTTGATGATGTTCGCTTGCCATATAGTACAGTTGATCCGATCATGGGAGATATATACTCGGTTCTTTGGGAGCCGGAAATGCTTACAAGTATGGGAGATACCATTAATATTCTAGCAACAGAGGTAAGGTTTGAATTTATCAGCACACACTGTATATACTAACGCATTTTAGGCTTTGACTCAAGGTCTTCAACAAGTTCTCGGAAGTACCATCCTCGTTGGTTTGATGGCTGCTTTACAATTACCAGTCGTTTTAACTAAACTTTCATATCTCATCGATAACCCATGGACGGTTTCCCTTGACCGTGCAAATGCTGCAGGTCTTATTCTTGCAGACTCGCTTATCGATCGAAATCTTGGTACCAGACCAATCACCTTCGTGGGATATTCCCTTGGTTCTCGAGTCATCTTCTCATGTCTCAAAGAACTCGCCAAGAAAGGCGCTTATGGCTTGGTTCAAAATGTTTACCTATTTGGTTCACCTAATGTGGTGAATCAGGATGACTATTTAAAAGCGAGATCCGTTGTGGCTGGTAGATTCGTCAATGGATATGCAAGGAATGATTGGATTCTAGGATATCTTTTCCGTCTTACTAGTGGTGGTATTAGACGTGTAGCAGGTCTTGCACCGGTCGAGAATGTTCCTGGAATAGAAAATGTGGATGTTACTGATCTAGTACCGGGACATATGGCATATCGTACTGCCATGCCCAAGCTTCTTCGAGCGGTGGGATGGGAGGTTGAGAGCGACGAATTTACTGAAATTGAAGATCCGGACCCGGAAAATCATGCAGAGAGGCAGAGAGAACTTATTAATGAGATCGAGGAAGCCCGGAAAGAATTCGAGAAGAAAGAGAAAGAAGGGAAAGGAAGATTTAGTTTCTTCGGCCGTAAAAAGAAATCAGCCGTCGAACGTAAAGAATGGGAGACATATGTAGAAAGTTCAAAGAACGAGCAGAGTCGTGATTCAAGCCGATCTGGAACAGAGGACGGCCAAGGAAATAACCATGGTATTCTTTTCGACATCGATGCTATTCGCGCCGAAGTCGCTAGTGGAGTTGCAGCTGATGGTGGTAGCAACAAACACATGGAGGTTAAAGAACTTAAATCCACACTTCCACCTATGAAACTCAGCCTCGCCTCTTCATCTAATAGTCCACAATCCAGTCCACGTAATTCTCTTCGTCCAACAAAAAGCGATGATGCGAGTACAACATTGAATGCTTACGGTTATCGTTCGCCAGGTCATTCTCCTCGTCCTTCGAATGGATTTGGTGCTGGCTCAACATATTCATACTCAAATTCAAATTCTCGACAAGATCTTGCGAGAAATTCACCATATCTGGCTCAGGAACCTGAGGAAGAACTTGAGATGACTTTTGATACTGCGTATCATTCTCCTCCTCATTCGGCTAATGTTAGTAGTACGAGGTTACCTGAGAGAGGACATACAAGTTTCCATTCTTTAGGTCATGTGGCCGATGGTAATGGTGGATTTGGAGGTGGCTTCGATGGGACTGGATCGAGTAGTGCAAGACCAGAATTAAAATCGGCTTCTACATTACCTGTGGGCATGGGAACAGGAGTGGGAGTCGGATTGGGCTTGGGCGTGACGGGGATGGGGATGGGATTGGGATACGTGGCGGAAAAAAATGCGTGGGCGGATGATGATGAGGATGAATTTGCGGGGGGTGGGGGAGAGGAGGAAATTGAGATGACTTTTGCATGATTGGATTTGAGCTTGCTTTTCCGCTTTTGGGGTGTAGGGTGCGTGTATTGCATTGTATGGATGGATGGATGGGTTGATGGATGGGTTATTTTATGCGTATGGATGGGATGGGTTGGTTGGGTTGGTTGGTTGGTTGGTTGGTTGTAGCGTGAATCGGATCAGAATAGGGGGGTGAAAAGGTTTAAGAGAGAAAGAAGAGAGAAGAGAGAAGAAAGAAGAAAGAAGAAAGAGATAGACTTAATGTGCATATACATATGGATATATGGGTTAGCGCGGAATGAATAAATGCATGCATGCATGTATGTATGTATGTATGTAGGTATATATTGATATGGATTGATAGTATGAAGTATTCGAGTATTTGTGTATTTGTGTATTTGTATTAGTGAATTAGGATTTGTGAATTAGTATTAGTGAATTAGGATTAGTGAATTAGGATTAGTGAATTAGTATTAGTGAATTAGTATTAGTAAATTGGTGTCAATAATTTATGAATAGAGCGTGGCAGTTAGAGTTTAGCTCGAAGTTTCGCTTGATTGGTTTTGTAGAATGGAAAGGGGGTAAGGGAAAGAGAAAGAAAGAGATTGAGGGGTTGAGGGGTTGATTGTGATTACTTACTCACTTGCTTGTTTGATACTTGCTTTTTCGATACTTGATTGTGGCTTGTCTAATGGATGTTTTTACTTGAGTATATTCTTGGGTATGTCTGTGTTTATATTTGATTTTGGATTTATTTTTTAGTTTGTTTTTGTGTCTTTTCTGGGAGATTCATATTTAGTGCATGATGTATGAATGATCGATGTATATAGTGGGTTATGATGATTATGATTGATGGGTATATAGGGAGGAAAGGAATTATATTGGAGTTGTGTTATCGGGGTGGAGATTGTAAATTCGGGATTGGATATCAGGCTTCAGTATGGGAAGAGATGAGATAGTGATGGAGAAAAAATGGGAATGGAATGAAATGAGAAACACACCCCGAGCCGATATTTACATCTCCCTAACAGAATATGAATATGCGAAAAGCAGAAACCTTGATGGTTATTTGCGCTGAATGTATATCTAACGGAGGGTTAGAAAGGGGGAAAGGGGTGTTATTGCTAAGCGACTGGGGCTGATCAAATGGGGTTGTGGTTTCGAGAGGAATTCGATCGAGGATATTGAGCTGGAGTTTGATTGGGAGTGGTGGGAGAGATGTTTGGGGGGTTTTGATTGTAATTGTGGGTGACTTTCGTGGTGGGTGTTTGGATTTGGAGATAGATGGATGGGTTGATTAGTGGGTAGTTGGAGGGTGATTGGATGTTTGAAAGTACCTAGTTAGATATCTCAGAGCATTTGTTGAAGGTCTGAGCCTACTTTAATGTCAAGAAGCGAGGAATGATAATCATGTCTGCGGTGATAGATACAAAATTAGAGAAGCTTGGGCAATCATTGCTCAGGAGTATTTGAGCCGTAATGTTAACAGTGTTGTGACTATACTTGGTGTTAAGAGAATGTCATATGTTAATGCAAGGATCGTTGGTATTCCTCTAGTACTTGATGTGGAGAGAAGGGTATTATTTTTGCTGGGCAAGTTTGTTTCCGACATCATTGCTTAAGTGTCTACATTAAGTGATGAACAGATACCTTCCAACTCCGGCTGAGAGAGGGGACTTGCGATATCGTAGGCAAGATTTCGTCAGGTAAAGCTGCTGCGATCATAGATCCAAGAATAACAGTAAGAGTATAGGATAGTCGGTTTACCTTGGGCCGATGAGATAAATGGTTTCAATTCCATTAGCAAAGTCCCCAATATCATGCTAGATAAGGCGACTCAATTACTGGTACAACGAGTGAGACTTTGACATAGATATATCAAGATCGCTCTGTGAGTCTGATACGAATTATTGACGATATCAGATGAGAGTCTTGAGTGTTCAAAATCCATAAGTCGTTGGAGCTTTTGGGGTGGATGAACATCGAATACTAAAGAGACATGCAATTGACAAGCTGAAATCCGCAAGTAATACAGTGACTTCATCGTATCAGGGTAAAAGTTTGGGAGAACAAATTTTATATCTTTGTTGTGTATTCGAGTGGCAAGAGGAGAGGTGATGTTGAGGCAACTCAAATTTATACAGATTGTTTAGCAACCTGATTTAGTATGCATTTGTTCCGCACCTTCCATTTGACGTTGGAACTTTATCCCCAGTACTTTTCAAGTTTGAATTCGTATCCACCTAGTGTTAGAATAATCTCCTCTCTATCTCAGAAATATCCAATATCATTCTGGAGTTTGAGAATGATGCGATATCTCTTGATCTTTGTTTCATCAAACTGACTGCGGGTCCGTAGTTTCATTAAACATTCATCGCTGGACTTATTCTCGGCATAAGGTGGGCTACCATTTTTTTCTTCAAAGCCTTATTGGAAAAGAGAATATCATTATACCGCACATAAAAAACACCTCTATAATCTTTTATACTTTTTCATTGACAGGAACACCAAACGTCACCATGCCAAACACAGATCATTACGTTCTCAAACGCAGTGGTTGGCTCTTACTACTCTTCTTCACCCATTTCTCAGCAACTTGTCTCCGCGCCGGCCTCGAAAACACCTTTCTCGTCGCCGATTTCGAGAATTATCCTCCCTCATCTAAGACGCGCGATCATGAGCTCTATTGTTATTGTTGTCGAAGGCAGAGTCAGAAATGGGAAGAACGAGCGAAGACTGAAGGAATCAAGACACCTTTTGGGACTGTTCTATTCAAAGATGAAGATGAGGATGACAAGATGGCGGCTGCTATTGTCAGTGGGGCTGCGGGGAGTTTTTTTGCAATAGGGTGCGCGGGTCTGTGGAAGACGAGGGGGGTTTGGGGGTGGTGGGTGGTTCCAACGGGGCTGGGGCTTTGGGCGGCTTTTTTTGCAGACCTGGATTGGGTGAAGGCGAAGGTCTTGGATAAGGTCCTGGATAAGTTGGAAGAGTTGGGGATGCTTGATGATGATGAGGAGGATGATGACGAGGAGGATGATTGGGAGGATGTGGAGGAGGAAGAGGAGGAGGAGGATATCATACCTCTCTTATGGATAAATGACTGAAGTATTAAAGTATCGAGATAGGTTTATGGGATTGATATAAGGAAGCAGAGGCTCCTTCAGCAACATGGCCTTTTTGAAACATAGTTCTAATGTAGCGACGTTCAGCGATGAATACTATAATTTAACCCATTATTGGCTGTAGAACTTTCTGCACCCAAGCCTGGTGACTATTCCACCGATGATATACTACATATTAACATGTCTTTCCCAGAAAGAAAAAAACCAAATTTAACAGCAGGGCTCATATATTAACCTCTCAACCACTACAGGTTCCGAGCCTAGTGTATATGCTGCGCTCCACTCCCCGAAACTGTATGATTGGAACAACTCTAATGACATCTCCCATCACATCCATCAGCATCATCTACGTCCTCCAGTGCATTGCCTCTTCTCTTTAGCTCTCCTGACCCCATTCCTCCCCAACAACTAATATACATCACATATAACACCTGATACTTTCTAGCTATCACACGAAAGGGGTCCGGTCGATGGCGTTGACGACATCGCTAAGTCTACTAGATGGACTGACGGGAGACTTCTCAACATTTTAAATGTTCAACAAATTTGTTTCCCAGTTGTTTGATACCAGGATCTATCATTCCATTGTTCAATCTGTAATGAATCATTAAAACAATTCAGATATCCGAATTGATATTTCATGAGATATTGCCAAGTCGATTTTTGCAGTGTCGAGTCGGTCCGTACACCACCCACTGGTGGTCGTCTATCCTCGTCGAATGCTCTGCAAATCATGCACGACTGTTATCCAGGGGGTTTGTCTGCTGTTTTTGCTTCGGCCCACCAATCGAAGCGGTTTATTGAATGTCTGGGAATCAACTCCTGGATTATCATAAAATGCTCGCGGTTCATTGTCTGATACTAGCACGGCTTATAACATCATAGATGTCCAAGATCCGAGAACAGATTTTCTAGTCCTTCATCACATTGATTGTTGATGTCAATTATTGTTGAAAGGTTAAGAACGCCTAAGACAACGAGAATCATATGAGTATCAAAATCTCGGCTGTTAATAAGAGATGCGTTCAACCCTTCCTACTTTTGAAAGACGTAGATCATTAACAGAGCAATTTGAAAAGGTGGTTGAGCCATTTAAACAATAAGATAATAATAGGTTTACTGGTATAGAATGTGGCTGATTGTTCGAAATCATTCAGTGAAACCATGGCCCACGTTTTCGGCACATAATCTCATTTAAATTCGATACTCGAATTCCACTTAGAAAACGAAGAACTGCGAAGCGTAATAGGGAATTTCTGTCTGCAATAAATGAGAAAATACATAGTGAATTTATTTCAGTAGCCCATTTTAAAGGACAAAGAGGATACGACGTAAAAAACACGAAATGACGTTCAACCTCATGCATCTCGAGCCGAACCGAGTCGGCACTGATCATATGCTCCCCCACGAGCCCATAAAAGCCAACGAAAGCCTCTGCGACCTTTCCAACCATTTATCTTTCACCACACCCATTCAATTTAAGCACAGCTCATTCACTGAACTGACACAGCATTTCCACACTTCTATTAACTCACCTAAAATTCACCATTTATCACCCGCTTCAATCAGCTCGCAAATAGCAGCTGACCCTAAATATCACGATCACCATATCTCAAATTCCTCTTCAAAAACAACCTTCCGTCACTCGAAGTCAATATGCGCCACTTACAAGCCTTCCTCTCTTTCAAAATCCATCAAGACCAGAATTATTAGTCGGAGACTTTCTCTCCAGCTATACTCAAAATGCCAGATATATCACGCAATCGTATCGAAATTTGGCGCAGCGAAGTTGAGTCGCAAACATCATCGCAATCGGGTATAGCAGTGGACATGGGGTGGAATGCACCGGTTGTACGACCACAGAGCTTTTGGAGGCGGGTACTCGGATTGGGATATACCGGCAGCGGCAGCGGGAGCGGTTCTGGTCGTGGTAACGAAGTTGTAAATGGAAGTAAGAGTGGGAGCGGAAGCAGAAGTGGAAGCAGCAGGAGCGTGAGCATAGGCAGGAAGCTTGGATTGGTGAAAGGAGAGATCGAACGAACTGGGATGTATACCGTGAAGATCAAGGGAGATAAGGATGAGCTCGAAAGAGGAAGGGACTTAGAGGGGAGAGAGAGAATCGGAGAGAGGGGTGAAGAAAGTAGTATGGAGCTTGATGGTAGTGAGGCAAGTGTGAGGGGTGGGTTGAGGGAAAGAAAAAACAGATTAGAAAGGGCAGCTAAGCTGTTAGGAAAGAATGAAGGAACGAGAGAGAATGGACAGAGAAGTTAGATTGTCTTGTGTATGGGTATCTTGATGAATGGCTGGGATTGCACAGACGAGTTGCGATAAGTTGTAATGGGTTGCGATGCAGTATTTTGCGGATTGGATAACATCATTCATGACACAGGAGGATTAGGATTAGCATTGGACAAATTGATGGGTGGGGCTACCTATGTACTACAACCTCAAAGAAGGTCACACGGATGCTTCCAAGTACCTCATGAGGAAGCCAATATCATCAACTTTGACCAAAGCCCTGGCTGTAAATTGTTCGAACCCAATTGGTGACTCAAAACGGGCATCGTGAAATATTGAATGAGAGCTCTAGCACTAGCTATGAGAAATGGATACATAAATGTTCAGATGACAGTTTGATTGATAAAGATACCCAGGCAAATATTTATATGCCTAGCTACTCAGGTAGTAAAACTTCACTCCTGTTTATTCAATGTCTCCATGTTACCATAGTACGAAGCTCAAGAAAATGTGGGAAATAAATGGAAGTGTTGTTTACATCACATGACCAGGTATTGATTTCTAACCCAGCGGCAAGAACCAACTCCGACACCTTTTCCATAATAATAATTTAGTCTTTTGGTTCTGCATCTTTGTTACACCTCATTTACAGAAAATATGTCGAAAACAGTTGTTGTTCAGTCACCAGCGGAATTCAGCAATCTACTGAAGACCTCTAAGATTGTTGTGACAGATTGTAAGCTACCCCGCCGGTAACCCCTCCCATTACGACTTGCCCCTCCATCACTATTTACAATACTACTATGAACTGGTATGGACCTCACTAATGCTCTGTCCTTTCTACAGTTTACGCGGACTGGTGCGGACCATGTAAGGCTATTGCGCCTATGTACGAGCAGCTTTCTGCGCAGCTATCACGTCCAAACAAGATTACATTCACAAAGGTCAATGTTGACAACCAGACCGAGATTGCATCCACCTATGGTATCACTGCGTATGTTTTCCCTGTATAGCACATTACTGAACAAGCGCCTGAAGTCGATAGTCCGGGATATTTATACTGAGCACCTGCTAACACAACTTCAACAGTATGCCAACATTCATGATCTTCAAGGGAGGCAAGCAAGTCGAGAAAGTGCAAGGTGCCGATCCAAAGAAGCTACAAGATATTGTAAGGAAGTTGGCTGCAGAGGCAGATGATTCAGGAGATTCTTCGTCTGGATTCGCAAGTGGATCTGGTTCTGGCGATTGGCGCGCAGGAGCTCTTCCAAGAGGCTACAACGATGTGACAGACCAGGTTGATATCAAAGGTCTAGAGTTGTTGAACGCCGACAGTGAATTCGGAACTGTGCGAACATTAGTTGATACAAGCAAACCAAGTGCCTTGTCAAATGGAAAGGCGGCAGATTCGAAGGCTAAGGACTGGGTTGTCAGTGATACGGATGAGCAGCTCATGTTGTTTATGCCGTTTCAATCTATGTTGAAAGTTCATAGTGTTCAGGTAAGAGGCATTTAACACATGCGCATAGATCTCAAGTATTGAGGCTAATCTCCCGTCCCACAGATCACATCTCTGCCTTCAGCATCTGATAACGAGGATGATGATGATGAAGAGCCAATGCGACCAAAAACTATCAAGATCTACACAAACCGAGCTCACACTGTTGGTTTTGACGAGGCTGAAGGTCTTCCTGAGACACAAACCATCACTCTGGAAGCCAAGGACTGGGATTCAACAGGCACTGCTACATTATCACTCCGCTTTGTGAAGTTCCAGAATGTTACTAGCTTGGTATTCTTCATTGTGGATGGTGATGGAGACAGTGAGAAGGTACGCATTGATCGGATTAGAATTATTGGGGAAACTGGTGAAAAGCGCGACCAAGGAAAGCTGGAGAAGATTGACCATGACCATTAAAGACGATGAAGCATGATTTGTTTACATTGATGAGCATGATGAGCGGTATAGTTATACGATGATAGGCATGGGATGGCGTTAACAGATGTGCCTTCTGGGGCGCTTTTGTGCATGGCATTTGAGTAGAATGATTTATGGTTCAGCTTCATGACGATATCCTTTTCCGCGAAACTTGCCTTCACATTGACGTTGATGACTATAAGTGATTGTAATAATTTGAATTGAAACACTAAACTACAACCTATCTTCAAAAAAAAACAAAAAACCACAAACCGGATCCGTACTACCAATGTCGCAAAATTCTACCTCGACTGGCGTGCGCGACCTGAAGCGCGTCTTTGAATGCCACCCAGACAATTGCGAACTTCCAACAAGATTCCTGCAGTCCATCGAATCTGCTTCTAATCCGACAACCAATACGGTATTTAAATAAAGAATGTCCGAACTCTCCCCGTCCTCTCACCCACCAACCGTTATCCGTTGGGCCCTTTCAGACAAACCGACGAACACAGCCTGAATTCTCGACGAAAAGTTTCGAATTCGCGGAAAGAGGTTAAAGAGAGAGCAGCGGTTGCAATTGGGATCGATCTATGGTACCATTGACACTCGTTAACATCATGGCGAGCAGATGCGCGAAAAACACGAGGTACCAAGCCGCACTTAAAAAATAAGTTGAAGAAGAAATTATCTCAAGTTGCGCGAGGAAATTTTCTTATATCTCACAAATTTTGGTGGGTCCGAGCTAGTTGGAAGGCTAGGCCGAATAAAGATTGGTGTGATTGTGCTGATATCTTCATGCCTTATATCTTAGTCAGACAGTTTATTCTCCGAAGTCCCGAATCTCGAAGGCTTGAAGTCCCGACGCCTTCACTACGTCGTACCTAGGTATTTTCACAGCCGACTTGCCACGCTATTCCCTGACATTGTAGGCATCCATTTAACTACTACTAGTCTATCGTCCAAATGATATTCCATATGATGTTGAGTCTAGAATTCTAAAAGTCTAAAAGTCTAGACTTCGTCAATCAAAACTCTATTTCGAGAGGAACCACTGCATTGGCATACACATACACACACACACACACACACACACACAATATTGAACAAGTTTGATATCGAACAAGTTTAACATTATGATACTCAAGTTCCAATAGTATGAATCAATTCAGTCATACATCTGTCATTTATCTATTTTCCTTGAAGGTTGATTACTAGGTGGGTATCTATTCCTCATTAGTAGGGCCCGTTGATATTTCCAGATCTTATAGTATGTCACATGTGGACTAAGTTGGTCACTACAGTGTACTTCCAACATCTCGAGTCACTAATGTCAGTCTTACAAAGTTAATTTTCTATGCATCACACTCTACCACTGTGTATCTTTACTTGATTGTAAGAGCAATGCAAACTATTTCACTTCTTCGACCAGCCTGAGTATAATGGAAACCAACATTATGACTGAACAGAAGCAGTCAATAGCTTCTTTATCATCATGGCCAGTGCGGATTTTCTATCCCGCCTGTCTCCTGTGAGGAAAAACGATGCTTGGACCACATCATCATCAGATCTTCTCCCCGAGCTCCAGGTGGACGATCAACAGTCAACTAACTACTTTGTATCTATCTTGGCTAGAACCGGTCATTCTTGAACCACTAACATACGATTTGCATTCGGCTGTACAGGCTTTCTCCATTAAAAAGTTGTCAAGCTTGTGGTTCGATGACCTACTTGCGCACGAAGGGTACAGTAGTCAACATGACAGAAGCCCGGCCTTCTCAATCATCGATCTTTACATTGGCGTAAGTGCCGTTTTGCTAATCTGGACCCTTTTTATGATAAATGATGTGCATGATGGGTGATCCTAGCCTAACCATAGACTACGGAAATCCGAGGATTTCACACCACTTTTACATTCCACTCTAAGCACCTCTATAATTTAGTTCAAAACGAATATTGTTTGAATCCAAAGCAATCTTCTGATTCCACCCTCCTCTGCAACCTTTAAATCTCGACGCTGATTGCAACCTGCATGAGCCGGCACCTGCACATACATATAGGCTGCAGTTTCCGTAGATACCGGTTCCGGAAAGGGCAACCAGCTGGTTACCACTTTGGCTGGGCGTCTTAAGGCTTGTATACTTTCTGAGAAATTCACAAACAAGAACCTGAGTGATTCTAGGCCATACCTTCCGCAATCAAAGTGCAAAACAACTGCATTTGATGCTCATTGCACCTGATTGACGACCATTCTCCCTCGAACCGATGAACAATCCACGTTTTATACCACTCAGATCTATGTGGCCAGAAACCGTAGATCATCCCTCTCACTATGCCCCTCATGCCGGTTCTTTACAGAGTAAGCCTGCCGGAATTCCTCCGTCTATGCGTTCGAAAGGAGGATGCTGGTATGCCTTTCTTCTATCCGGGTTTTGTACACCAACTAATTTAAGTGTAGGACATGTAGAGCTCGTAGTTCGTATTCTATCGCATCCCTCCAAGCTTTTTATACTGGTTACTATAGCTAATACTTTTCGTTCCATAGAGGTCAAGTGTGATGAAACAAAGCCCACATGCCAAGTCAGTAGCTATTCTACTGGGGATCATGCATTGTATCATATTACTGACAAATCTCTAGCAATGCCAACGTCTATTTCATCTTTGGTATAGTCGCTTCTTCTCTTTGTGTGTAAATAAATGACTGACCAGCATAGTGACTGGGACCCAAGAACTAATTTCAAGTATGAAACAAACAAAATTGTAGCCCGTACGCCAGGGGTTTCTTTGGACAGCAGCTTGGTCTGGAATCGTATGTTTAACGGAATTACTTTGTTCTTCAAAAGTCCTATTATTGACGTCTTCAGCATCCGCTTCCACTACGCCTCCGCAAAGCAATCAACCAAAGGAACATGACAAATTACCACCCTATAACGAATTGTCAAGCGACGAGCAACGTGAGAAGAAGGCTTCCTATTACCGACCGGGAATGTATACCTTAGCCGTTATACCGGAAAGTTTTGATGGGTTACTGGAGTACGAGACTAAAAGCTCACGCCCAAGAAGCTTTGGTACGAACAGACATCGATTCCAGTCAACCAGGCCAGATGTTGTTATCCTAGAAAGATTTGTAGGATATCCGGGTAGTCGTAGCCAGTCAGAAAATCCACTCTCCAGGAAAGCCAGCTTGGAAAAGGTTTCATCTCCCAGCGAGCTACCCATCACACTTGTGGATAGAGAGACAGACTCATATCTACTGGATCATTATCGGAATGTACTGGCGAATCAGATATGCTGGTTGGCTGAACAAGCTTCGGGGCCAGATATATTTGAAAGATACTCTGCAGATTACCCTCCTGTAAGTGAAAACAAAGGCATCAAATCTAGACACTTACTTATAGAGAAGTTACATCTTGCAATCCTGGCTTTGTCTTCGCTAAGTCTATCTCGAACGAATCATATACCTTTTGAGGACGTTTTGTGAGTAAGCCTTGTCATCATCGTGAGAATGCACAAATCAAATTGGCAATCCTAATACTTGACATCGAGAGCTAATATCAACGAAAGAAAACGATACCATATGGTCATTACCACGTTGGGCAGTTCACTCAAAACTCAAGAAGACGCCTATTCTGATGGGGCGCTGTTCACACACTATTTACTTTTACTATTTGAGGTAAGTCAGAGAAGCACTTCGCATTCGAGGTAGAATCATAATTGATACCTGTGGTCCTTTGACAAACGCACTTATTAATGAATGGTACAAAGGTTGCTGCGACCGGACATCGTGAATACAATATGTGGGAACAGCATTCCGATAGAATTCTACGTATTCTTCAGCTTCGGCAGAAAGCTTATGGTAAAGAACCACATGGATTCATCATTGTTGTAAGTGTAATCTTTGTTCTTAGATTCCCGATTCCAAGCCCCTGCCTTATGCTTCGGGGCCCCCCTTTCAAGGCATCAAATACTCCTGATTGGCAAATTTGATATCAGCTTCTAGAGATGGAATCGGACGACAAGCTATTCGAAGTTTTTGCTTGTACTCGAACATTATAAAACTTTGATTGTAGGGCTGCAGTTCGTACTATTGGAAATCTGCCCTTTTCTGCTTTTCAGAATAGCAGCTACTTGCCGTCTAATTACGCTTACCTTCATAAGAGACAATCACTAATACCGATATTATAGTTTACCTCATATATTGACATGTATGCTCTTCTCACCACTACTGGCACAGGGTCTTTCAGCAAAGCCATTCTCAAGCAAGACATGCTACCGCCTCCCGAAGACGCTCTGGAGAACCGATCGCTCAACATGATTTTTGTACCGGAAGCAATTCGCGAGATGCCCGATTTGCTGAGGATGAATCGAGAACTAACTCTGATTGCCCTTGAAATGGCACGGACGGGACGAAGTTTGAAATTTGAAGAAAAAGATGACTCAAAGCCAAGAATCGAAGTTAACATGAATCGATGCAGATCCATGCAAGATTTGTACACACGTCTGATGGAATTCCGTGACAATTGGTCTGGATTTGTAGAAAGCAAGACGCCGGAAGAGAGCTGGCTTCGCGAATTGGCACAACTTCCAAGCGGACCATTTACTTGTAGAACACATGTTAGTTTTCCCAAGTCAATACAGAAGGACACCCACTGACAGCGCTAGGCACAGTTATTTTATCGAGCTTGTGAAATCTACTATCACACAAGTATGTATCAAGGTCAATCTTTGATAATAGCAGCAGAAGTGGAAGAACAACTCTCTTCATGTGCCAGAGAGATAATTTTGATAGCCAAGACGATGATAGATCTAGGGCGTCTTGGGGCTAGATTCGTAGTATTCCCTATTTTTATGGCGGGTATAGCATCTCGAGTGAAGGAAGAGAAACAAAGTGCTCTAGAATTTCTTCGCAGGTTGGAGGAGACAAGCTTTGGTTCGAATACAACGACCACGAGAAAGTTACTCGCATCGATAATCAAGAAACAAGAAATTGCGATCGCTGAGACGGGAAACCCTTTGTGTGTTAGTTGGATTGAAGAATTGGAATCGAGTGGACAACAATTAATTTTGGTGGGCTTGTAAGATTATCGACGGGGTATGGGGTTTGCGGTGTTGGTGGTTTATTGCAATGGGATGACATGAGACGGCGTCAAAAACTGATTTGAACAATCAAATGGTCTTGGGTAATTCTGGTTGTTCTGTACTATTAGTTGTAGGGTTAGAACTAGATCAGATAGATTACTCTCTATCGATGAGAATATGGTAACAATAGTACCTAGTAGTTACTAGTCATTAATACTGAAAACATCACATTATATCAAAACTATCATGGATCTGTTGCACAAGTTGTTTTAGAATCTTTGTATCTGGCTTCTGCATCTGCGAGTGGGAGTAGAAATGCAGATAGATACAAAGGCATCCCCCCGTCTTTCAAAGCTTTGCTGATACAGTTATTCCAATTTATATGTATAGTCGCTTTTATAGTCTTATATTACTATTATACTTTTAGAATGTGGTCTAAATGGTACATAGAGTACATTACCCTGATGCCATACAAAAGCTTTCCGTGTAAGTCTTGATACAATAATTTTCTCGCAAGCTCTTAAACATTCCAGGTTATACAAATTAACCTCACAAATCCCAATTGGGTAATGTTGTAGAAAACTCCATTCATAGTTTTAGCCTTGTTTTCATGAGGCTGCAACGACCCGGAGCGCAACCCTTTGTCTGTTGTGTGATTGGTTGATATTGCCCCGCCGCTTTATGTTATCAGGTTGCAGAGGGGTGACGATTTCGGATGGTATCGATATCCACATCTGGATGAAACAACATTTAACTCATTTGTACAAAAGAAGATCTAGGGTGAATCAGTTGAAGTCACCACCACCTACTCACTTGCGAAACTGAACCGTATAAACTGCACGCACCATTTCAAATCATTATCAAAAGCTTACGATTCACGAAACTCAACTCTTCTTCTCATCATCATACTTTCTACCTCAAGCTTTCAACCGCGAAGGTTTCTAATTATTCCAGGTCCAACATCTTTCTCGCATTTCAAATTATCATACCCTTCTTCATCGCATACACAAACACGAATCTAGTCAACCATTCTTCGGCCGATCATTCATCATGGATGACCCCGTCGAAGCTTTTACGTCCATTACAGGACAATCGGAGGCTGTGGCAAGAGTGTACCTTGGAATGACCGACAACAATCATGAACAAGCAATAGGATTATTCTTCGAAGCTCCCGAACTTGCAAGCCAAAATGCTGCTTCTCAACAAGCGCCGCCACAAATACCTACTTCTACCAGACCACAAAGATCTACGAACCGCGCCCAGCAAAATGCATCTGGGGTAGTCGACTTGGATTCCGATGACGACATGGAAGTCGATGATGATAATAGCGATGGCGACTCTGAAACTGCAACAGCTGCCGCTATTGCACGTGCCGCGGAAGTTGAGGACGATGCAGCTATGGCGCGGAGAATGCAAGAAGAGCTTTACAGCGGTGGTGATGCAAGTGGCGGATTCGATGCAGAAGGCGTAAGAGCGCCTATTGCAAGAACAACGGAGACGCTTGTCGGTGGGCCAGGAGGATGGGATGGAGATGATGCCCTGCAAAGCGAAGTCTTGGAGCAAATGAGACTCCGGGCTCAAAGACAAACTAGGGCGGCTGCCGGTGGAGGCTCAGGTAAGGACAATGATACAATATTTTAAGTATTTTTCTGTACTAATATCGAAACAGCTCGAACAGGAATTCCAGGTGGACGAGTGGCTCCATCGATTTGGGATCAGGAAAACGAAGATACAGCACGAGCGGTCTCAGGAGCAGAAGGAACTAGTAAGAGCGCCCGTCTTGCAGAACTTTTTAGGCCACCATTCGACCTCATGTACAAATTGCCTTGGGACTCCGCTCGCGACGAGGGAAAAGAAAACGGAAAGTGGATATTAGTCAATATTCAAGATAACTCTATCTTTGACTGCCAGTCATTGAATCGCGATATATGGAAGGACCCTGGAGTTAGAGATGTTGTGAAGGAGAATTTCATATTTATGCAGTATTCCAAGGACGATCCACGGGGCAGCCAATACATTCAATATTACTTTCCCCAGAAAGATAGCGAGGCTGCATATCCTCACATTGCGATCGTCGACCCAAGAACTGGAGAGCAAGTCAAGGTTTGGTCAGGGCCTCCAGTACCAAAGCCTGCAGAATTTCTCATGCAACTGGTTGAGTTCCTTGACCGATATAGTCTCGATCTGTCCAAGAAAAATCCCGTCGCAAGACGAAAGCAAGAGAAGACAAGCACGGTAGATGTCAATAAGCTCACGGAAGAGGAGATGCTTAATCTAGCGATGCAAAATAGTCTCGCGAATAACGGAACAACGGGACCTAAAGCTGATGATCCAGATGACCTCACAAAGAGTTTCGGAGATGTCAGCAAAGGAAAGGGTAAAGAGACTTCAGAAGAGAGCTCAGAGATAGCCGAACCTTCTCAAAATGATTCCAATTCTGGTGCAGAAGTCTCTCCTTTCTCTCAGATTGCTTCTGACAGACCGCACACTGAGCCTGAAGGTCCCCTTTCACAAAGCACGCGCATTCAGTTCAGACATGCCAATGGTCGTGTTGTTCATAGATTTAGGCTCGATGATACAGTACGTCGCATTTATGAATGGCTAAAGTCGGATCCACTGGAGGGGAAAGCAGGTGTCCCATTTGAGCTGAGAAGCGCAGGGAAAGATTTGATAGATTCTTTGGACGAAACAGTCAAGGCTGCGGGACTCAATAATGGGACTGTGATGGTGGAATTCATCGAGGAGTAAATGTTTTAAGAGTTTTGGAGATTATTGATACCAGAGAGATTGCTCGCATCGCAGGGCGAGATAATAATGAGCTGTTCACACCGTACATGGAGAAATACGCTTACTCCCCCGAAGTTGCTGATCTATTATTTCTCATAAAGAAAATCACATAGGGAGGGGGTTTCCCTTTTCTTACTTCGGCACCTCATCGTTGTACATAGACGGGACTTTCCAGCAATGCAAGGATTATCGGGTTCCTGGGCTATAGATTTATGGGAATGAGGAATGAGAATATCACGATATGAAAATATCTTTATTGACATGATAGCAGTGACATGATAGTAGTGACACTACTAATGAAGTTCTAGATGCTTGAATTACTATATTAGATTGATATAATTCTTCGGTGTTGCTCGAGTGACGTTTATGACATACAGTAGTAACCGCCGGGGGCCATACGCTACGCTTTTTAACCCCTGAAATCATTGACGTTTGGCGAAGTGGGCAAGTTAAGCTCGTCGGTTTCAACCAATTGGTTGAGTGAGGTGGTTGGCTGGTAGACAAGATGCATGAAATGACAACAAAGACCAGTCATTTCATGAAAATAATAAGCAATAATGTGTTTGTTTTCCTAGGATTTCGATTTGTTCCTGATTCTCTAATCTCAAATCTGGGAGTGCATAAGAGAAGAGTCATATTGATTATCATTAATCATTAAACAAATCAAAAAACAAATTTACCAACTAGGCCCATTCGTTCCTCGACAGCCAATGCATGCCTAGGTACCTTCCCCAGATTGATGAAACAATACCTATCCATCTCTACTTACTGTCTATCTATCCCGCGTCCACCTCTCTTCGTGCATGCCGCTTCCCATAAGTTGCATTCCTCTAGATAGCTAGCTCGAGTTGCTTCTCTTCCATTTCTACACAATCATTCTTCTTACTCCTTTGCGAAAAGAAAGCTTTCCATTTACCATATTTACGATTCTCAATCCCCGGACAGGCTTCGACATTCAATCTCTTTCTTCTCTATTTGATATAGTGATACACACCCTCGGTAGCCGTTGACCCCACCATACCATACCGTACACCGCGTTCACAGGCCCAGATCGCGATCCCCTTGTCCCTCTGCAGAAAAAAGGAAGAGACGGAACCAACAAACCTTCTCCCGTCTGTTCGTGTATGAGACGATACGTTATAACAAAGTAAGACTGATTGTGCCTGATACCTTGGACGATAGGCCAAATCAATTCACTACTACAGCCCTTCCCGGGGTTTGGAGAGCGACGAAATATCAGCGGGGTGCTCCCAGTAAAACGCGGACAACAAACCGACAACACGACCTGACATCAGCAGTGGCGTTGTCTCATTTCTCTTTCCAACTCAAATCGATTTTGATTTTGAGTAATGGCGCATGAGATGAGTGGTGTTGTAGATCCTGAGACTTTGTATACAAAGCAGAATTGCATCGGTATGTTTGCGTACACTTTCATCATTCTGTATAGAGGCTCATTTTTATAGGCGGTGGTAGTTTTGGTAAAGTTTACAAAGGGTATGGTTCTTCCTTCTGCCAATTGTCAATCAAATTTCTCATCTAGGCCATGTAATAACCTTCAGCAGAGTTGACAAGCGCACCGGGCAGGCTGTAGCCATAAAAGTTATAGACGTTGAAAATGCCGAAGATGAAGTCGAAGATATTATTCAAGAGATCTCTATCCTTTCCGAATTACATTCCCCGTTTGTTACGCAATACTATGGATCATATCTTAGAGGTTCGGATCTTTGGATCGTTATGGAATTCTGCTCGGGTGGTAGTTGTGGCGACTTGATGAAGCCGGGTCTGATACAGGAGGAATATATTTCGATTATCATACGGGAACTTTTGCTAGGGTTAGATTATCTTCATGGAGATAAGAAGCTTCACAGAGATATTAAAGGTTTGCAAGATTTTCGGTGGGAACTTGGGTTATATTCCAGGAGCTAACATCTGAGGACAGCTGCAAATGTTCTACTGGGCGCCAATGGACAAGTTAAGCTCGCGGACTTCGGTGTTTCAGGCCAATTATCTGCTACCATGACCAAGAAGAATACATTTGTTGGAACTCCATTCTGGATGGCCCCGGAAGTCATCAAACAATCTGGTTATGACCACAAGGCGGATATATGGTCTCTGGGAATTACAGCACTCGAGCTCGCCAACGGCGAACCTCCATACTCTGATATTCATCCAATGAAAGTTTTGTTTCTCATACCTAAGAATGCGCCCCCAAAATTAGAAGGAAATTTCACCAGGGCTTTCAAGGATTTCGTCGAATTGTGCCTTCAACGAGACCCGAGAGAACGACCGTCGGCCAGAGAATTGTTGAAACACGCCTTTGTTCGGAAAGCCAAGAAAACATCATATTTGACGGAATTGATAGAGCGATACGAACGTTGGGCAGTGCATCACAAGGGTGACGATGATGACTCGGATAATGAACGAGAAGAAGCTCCCCGACCTAAGCCTGTCGATGAAGACTTGTGGGATTTTGGTACGGTCCGACCAGTTGGCGGAAGAGGGAATGGAAGGGTTGGGCTGAATACTATGGGAGAATCTGACACGAATGCAAGAGCATCGAGGCTATCAGAGGAGAATAATTATGCAGAGCGCCCGAGACAGCAGTCGCCCTCGAAATTAAAAGAACCAGGATATGTCTCGAGTATTGAAACTGTCAAAGCAACAAATTGTCCAGTAGATGCACAACCAAGGCAACCTTCTCCACAGAGACGGCCTGTTCCAAGTATTCAGACTTCAATGTCTCCTACTAAGGTCCCTCTTCCACCATCACCAGAAAAATTCAGACCTCCAGGATTGGAGACACCTAGAACGGCTGCGAGCTATATAAATAGACAAGTTTCTGATTCTCCTGATTATGATCGTACTTTGCAAGAACAACTCCAAAGAGATATGGGATTTCTGAAGCTCGGTGAGCCATCTCCACCGCCATTGCGAATACCCCCTTCTACCGCCCCAATACCAATACAGTACACGAATCAAAATACACCGCCTTCAGCATTACCACGGCCAAATACGCAACAGTCATTACCAAAACTTGCCCCTATCAAATTGCCTGAAATTCCTCCATTCCGTGGTAGCGGTCAGCCTCAACCACTGCAGCAAAGACTTCCAAACCAAGTACCTACTGCAGAGCCTCGGAAACAGCAACAGCAACAGCCACTTCCATTACCTCCCAACCCTACAGGCCTTCAGAATATTAATCTACGCCAGACAGGTCAGCAGCCATTACCTGCATTACCATCGAAAAAATTACGCAATACTCCTTCTCAAGAAAGTATATCATCTCAATCTTCTAGAGCTCCATCATCTATGCCTTCACCTGCTCCTGCTAGTCCAACCGGCGATCTCGATGCCTTGAACGATGTGATCTTTCCTGCGCTTGAAGAAGCACTCAAAAGACGTCAGTATCGCTTACAACATGCTTTTCGCACGACTGGAGCCACTCCAAAGCAACAAAGGGCACAAGCTGCTCATGAGAAATTACGAAAATTAGTTTATAAGCTTGCACATGTGTGCAAAGAAATCGACCATTGGGATAAACAGGAACCAGTGGGGATGGGGAAGGATGTGGATGTTTTCCTCGAGGGATTGTTAGAGGAAATTTTGGTCAGGGTCGAACCAGCTGATGAGGAAGATGTGGATATGAGACGATGAATGGATCAGTGCACAATTACGAATCTTTAATGTACGATGCATGAGGTATTAGGAATGAGGAATGAGGAATAAAGAAGACCCAGGTAGGGTCTATCATGATGGATGGATGGATCGGTTAGGTACAAACTTGATCGAATTCTACGATATGAGGCGTTGGTTGGCAGAATTGAATTTGGTATTCCAAGAGAGGATTGAGGGATTTTGTGTCAAGTACTTGGTATCGAGGCTTGCTAGAGATGTTAGGTATTAATATTATAAAATTGAAGATGATGACTCCTCTGGAAGAAGCTTCTTCTCATCTATCTAATCAATCAGTCATTCATTCACAATCCCTTAATCGTTATTCTTTTGAATATCACTGTGTAGTGCAGGCACCTTGAGTGAGTGACTCAATGGCACTGGCGTGGGCGATGTGATAGATTGTGTGTTTGAGAAAGTTTTCCATCAATTTGAACACTTAGAAGTGGCTGGAGTATTGAGAAAGTTCTTGATGAATTTAAACATTCAAAAGTGGTTGGGCCATTGCTAAGAGGGTTCTGGGGACTGAAATACATAGTTGGAGTTGCGAGTATTGATCGCCCGCTCACTCTTCATAGTTATTGTTCTCAACGTGCAACGTCTTGTGAGATATTCACACGCACTTCTCGCATCACTTTTGCGAGTGGTGGTTATGGATAGGATACTTGCTTCATTTCTCTTCTCGCTTTTGAGCTCTGAGGTGTATCTGCGGAAGTTGTTCATCTTTGGGATATGTAGGTAGGTAGGTATTCTGCCAAGTAGGTTGGGGCATTCACTGCTTGGTCTTCTTGTTGCTCCTGCTGAGCAAACCTGGAAGCTTGGTTGCTTGAGCGCTTTCTGGATTGGGAATGGGGACTTGGGGTTACCCCGCTTTTGGTTCGAGGTAGGTAGGGTAGTTAGTTACTTGTTGTCGTTCATCCTCTTTCAATCTTTGACTTTTCAACTTACAACTTTGGCTCTTCGAAAACTCATCTTCAACAACACCATTATCTTGCTTGCTGGCGCTGACTTATTGCAAACGCTTGCAAAAGTGAGCTGATCAGAAGCTTTACTATTCTCTTTCTACCTTTGGCTCCTCAGTTTGCTTTACAGCCTTCTGATTCACTGACTTTGCTTCTTATTTCTTATATTGGTTTCTTTGAACTTGAAATACTTCTTCAGATATCAACCGACTTCGCGCTGGCTTTCTATTATTACCCATCATTTCTAGATAGGTGATTTGATACATAGTATTTGCCGCCAACTTTTCCCTCTGGCTTCAAGACTATCTACTTTGCGCTTTAGTTTCAAGCTTCAATCATATCTTCTTCGACATCTGACCTCTTGTCCCCTCCGAAGACTTGACTTTTGACTTTGATAGCAAGTCTCTCTCGACATCTCAGTCCCAAGTGTTGACTTTCTATCGCTACTTCTTGCTCGCGCGGAAGTTCCTATCTAGCATAACCAAGGCCAATCTTTTAAACTATCTCTCATCGATAAGAGTGATACCTGGGTATCTTATCAACTCTATCTTAAGGAGGGAAGTCATTCTTTCTTTAAGCTTTTGATCTAAAGGCAGAATCTCATTGCCACTCCGAGGAACCAACATTGCTATTCTAATTTATCCTTTTCATATCTTCGGCAATTCATTACTCGGTAATACTGAATTCCTTGTTGGGATTCCACAATCTATCTCATCATGATTGGTAGTATTAGACCCAGTGGTCAAAACAGTTTGGCCTCCTCATCTACGTTTTCAAACACTCTCGTTCTTCGGCCATCAAAAGAAGAAGCGAAGAGAGTCGATTTCCAGATTAGCGATATTATCGACTTGGAACTCCGCGATAAAGTTGCAGCAATGCTCCCATCCTACCCATCATACTCTCTTCTATATCTTACTTATGTATTAGTTAAGAGCAATGGAAAATCGGACGCGGCCCGAGATTTCCTTCACGATACACGCCATAATAAAGATCAATATCTACCGATCACTTACATCACAAGTTTAAAGGAAATTGGGGATGTTACGATGCGCGACAAAGTTGAAAGAATTATCAATCTGGCACCGGATGTGACCATCTGGTGGGCTTTTTATGCCCTGCAAGTTTGTGGGGGATCTCTTGATTGTGCCATTGGTTTATTATTTGAGGGTGTTGTTGATGCTTCTAAGGATCCTGCGATACAGGTAGCTCTTGCATCTACTAGGCGTATCAGTCCGGCAATCAGTCCTATGAGTAGATTAGATGAAAGCTTATTTGTCGATTCGTCGTCAGATTCAGAAAGCTCTTTTTCTAGCGACACTAGTGACAACGAGTCGACCAAACCCACTTTATCCCCACCTGAGCTATTGCACCAAACACCAAATAACTTATTCGTCGACACTAGCGACGATGACAAAGACCTTAAGTCAGAAGAAGATAATGCAACTTTGCGTGCCAGCCCTGACTACACCAACCTGCGAAAGCCATCTATCGATAAAGGTAAAGGCGTGGACAAATCAGACCCGGAGGATTTTAACTCCGATATTGAGATGAGCAGTATTCCACCCTTCGAGGAGAGTCCTCGGGTCAAGAGACATGAGGAACAGAACCGCACTTGTAAGTTCTGTGGGGCGGAACTAAAGAACTGGTTGACGCGAACTAGTCACGAGAAATCATGTCGTATGAAGACGAAGCGAATTTGTGTCAAGTGCAAAAAGGAAGTCTCGAAGTCGAATATCAGAAGGCATGAAGCCAGCTGTGATGGTCGTCAAACCTCAAGACGTGATGGCCCAGAATATGAAGTCCGTGATTCAACAAGAATGAACGCTTCTCGTGACAGTTCTCCGGATTTCGATTTATCCAATTCTATTACAGAAGATCAGCGTCAAAAAGTGAAGGAAATGCAAAAACACCTTCCTCACTTTTCGGTTGATAAATGCATCGAGTCCTTAGCTTTGTGCGATTATAATGTCGAAGAGGCTATAGCTTTGGAGAGAGAGACATCGACTTCAGATGACGAACTTGAAAGCCCCGACGTTCGAGGTTCGTGTAGCCGGAAGGATGTTTCGTTGAAGAGAGGATTGGAAAGCACGTCGGTAAGTTGAGCACAAATAACGATATCAGTGTACGGCTTCTGACAATACTTAGGTTGAGCGTGTCACAAAGAAGGCACGTATCCAGGTAGGCGACGGAGATACCAGTTTAGAGCCCGCGAGCCAGTGGATTAAGTATGTGCCCACTTCCCATTGTTCGAACGGCTAATGGACATTCTAATCATGCTTTACAGAACCACCTTTTCTGGTCTTTGTCAAAACTCTGCTAACCTTACAATTGTCAATCTCTCTGACTCGAAAGTTCGTTCAGTTCCGACGAAGCTTCTTTGCGACAACTCGAAATGCTTAAAGAATATGATTGGTCTCACAGGAGACGAAGATGCCCCAAAACAGATATGTCTCTTTGATGTCGAGGCATATCTCTTTGATGCGCTCATACAATATATGGTCTGTCGCAACGTCTCATTTGGTTCTCGATTAAGCCAAACACAGAAGATTACTTCGATCGTAAACTTCATAGTTGCCGCAGACGATCTCGAAGTTGCTGGACCAGCGACTACCATGCTTCCGGTTCTTGAAAGAATTCTGAAGGAAGAACGAAAGGGACCGTCTCCTCCAACCATTTTGAAAGGTGACCACGTGGAAAAGGTCTTTTCGACTCTTGGAGCTGGTCATCCCATTCCAAAACTATTCGTCAGTGCATCCGTGCGGCCGTTTCTCGAACACAAAATTGACAACACTTCTGTCGATGAGGACTTCGACGGCAGCTCTGAACTCGTGCCAGGTGATATCGAAATCTACCGCAACAAGCCAGCGCATCTTGCATTCAAGTTCAATAATGACTTCAGATCGGCTCTGTTATTAAAGGTCTTTGAAACTACGAGCACTAGGGAATGTCGACAAAACTATACGCGCAGCAAAAACCCCAAGAATACTACCACTTGGTTCACCGATCCGCTTGACGATAGCCAATTCACCATTTAAGCCGGTTGATCTTTTCCTTATTGAGATCATCTCATATGCCTTCTGGTTTTCTTATTTCGTCTCATCGCTCAGATGCTCGCGTCAGTTCAGAAATTGTAGTAAAGAGAGCTTGGTACGTGGTGAGAACGAGGCGCAGGGTTACATACAAAGGTCGATACAGTGCTTCTCGCTGTTTATCCTCGAGCCAATATTCTTAATTTGTTACCATCCTAGGATTTGTGGACTTATTAAACCGGATGTGCCTTCGGCTTTCGGGCCTGGGTATGTTCCATCATGATCTGGTCTCGCTCAGCAATATTTTCGGTTGTTCATTGGAAATCCCCTTTTTGACCATCAGTACTTGTTTCCGTTCGAAAAGCATTGCGAGGAGGAGGTTCGTCAGGATATAAGATGAAAGTTCCAGAGTGCATCTCCACTATGCGCTCCTAAAAATAAACGGAGAATGGATGAGCGGAAGTCATTTTTATGGTGGAAATTCGAAGGCCAGGCGGAATGGAGTGTTTATAGAATAGCTACAGATGATTCTAGGAGATGAGTGAAATGAAGATAATCTTATTTGATGTTGGCTGTGAAGTAAATGATCCCACGTACTACAATGAAAACATTGATAGCTCCCACAATGGTGATATGAATTATAATCCGACATAACCTTGGAAGGTAGAGTCACTGCAACTCTTTGGTTCACATCAACTTGAAGTGTTTAAGATTTGCAGTCAAATTCAATGATTAATCTATAATCCAGTTCTATTTATAACACAAAGCATTCTGGTATCAATACTGCTCTTTTTCCACCAAAGAAAACGCTTCCTACATCAACAATCTCCAAGCACCCAAAATCAACGCCGCCGTACCAGTACAAACTCCCATCAACCACTGCAGCGTCTGAAACTTAACACCCTCCAACTTTTCCCTTAACCCAGCTACCTCCTGCTCAATCTTTGTCTCCGTTTCCTTGATTTTAAGATCTTGAACATTGGCCTCCTCTCTTATCCTGCCCTTTTCCAAATTCAAATCTAATCGAACAGAAGCTTGGGTTCGGGAAACCTCGTCCCGCAGACGAGCATTCAGTTTAGCGAGATCATTGGTGAGCCGCTCGTGAGAAGCGCGGGTTGTGGATGATTCGGTGGAATCTGCAGAGAGGAGTTCGCTGCGGAGGGCGGCGAAATCAACTTTTTGAGTGTAGGTTGCGCGAGCGGCATCTTCGCGGAGGACCATTGTACGGGTTAGGTTTTGGATGCTGGGATGGAGGTTAGTTGACTATGGTGAGAGCTTGAAGAGAGAATGTGTATAGGAGTATGGATCATTACCTTTCTTCAATAACATCGCTGAGCACTTTCATCATAGCCACAGCTTGGGGTTCTGTGAATCCCTCATCCCGTAACCGTTGAACAAACTTCAGGGTGTCGAAATGGTGGTCTCGAGATTGACGAGGGGTTGCGTGGAATGCTCTTCGACATGATGGTTCTAGTAATATGCTAGTTCGAGCTTTGTGTCCGCTGTCTACGGATCGTCCTCGATTGGATATCTGCTGACTAGAAGTATGTCTTTGTGAATTTCCATTCTTGTTTGCTGCCGCGCTGAATGCTCGGATAGTATGCGGGGGTAATGAGGATCGTGTCTGCCAGCTCAATTTGGGGAGTAAGAACCGCGGTAGTGTTTGTACGGAATTTGCAATTGGCTTTGCCATTGTGTTTTACTTCTCTTATAGATTTATAGAAAGTAAAACTAGCTTCGAACCTTGTGCAATTCTTTCAAATTTCCATTCAAGATGAGTTGTGTTCTCAAAGATATCAATTTATTGATTGATACATCATGGCCGGCAGTATCCGTTAGTCACCGAAATAGCGGAAGTACGGTGACCGAGATTGTTAATTTTCTCGGTTGAGTCACCCACTTCAAAGAATATTATCTAGATTCGAAATCTTGCCCATTCACAGTCAACGAGGAGTATTATCCACGACATTTGAATCATCTCTCGAATTTAAGATCGTATCTTAGGGAGAATCTTGAGTTATCTGAAATTATTTCAGCCACCACAGATAGCTCCACATAAAGGAATTTCACCCGATTACCCCGCTACGCAAATATTCTAGCAAACAGAACAGCAAAAACCCACCAGAGAACGACCACCCAACATGGCTTCGAACGGTGACAAGTTTGGAAACGATCTGGAATCTGAATCCGATTCTAACCCAGGATCCCCCAATCTCGATGCGCAAGAGGTTGACGACAATGTAGAGGATATTGACGAGAAGCCCATCAAATCCGCATTAAAGAAATCATCACATAAAGAACCTGCGCCAGCTATTGTTCGACCTACCTTACCACCCCAAACAGAACCAAAAGACTTGGATGTCAAGTCCCTGACTCCCCTCACCCCAGAGATTATCGCAAGACAAGCAACTATCAACATTGGTACTATTGGACATGTGGCGCACGGAAAGTCAACTGTGGTGAAGGCTATCTCTGGAGTACAAACTGTTCGTTTCAAGAACGAGTTGGAGAGAAACATTACGATTAAGCTTGGTTATGCCAATGCAAAGATCTACCAATGCGATAACAAAGAGTGCCCAAGACCTGGATGCTTTAGAAGTTATAAGAGTGAGAAGGAGGTTGACCCACCCTGTGAAAGAGAGGGATGCAGCGGTACCTACAGACTTTTGAGACACGTATCGTAAGTTATCATTGCTTGCACTTTTACGCAGCGGCAATAGCTAACATGTTACAGTTTCGTTGATTGCCCTGGTCACGATATTCTCATGAGTACTATGTTGTCTGGTGCAGCCGTCATGGACGCCGCTCTCTTACTTATTGCTGGAAACGAAACTTGCCCCCAACCACAAACCTCGGAACATTTGGCAGCTATCGAAATTATGAAGCTCGACAAAGTCATTATTCTACAAAACAAGGTCGATTTGATGAGAGAAGAAGGCGCAAACCAACACTACCAATCGATATTGAAGTTCATCAGAGGAACTGTTGCAGGTGGAGCACCAATTATTCCTATCTCCGCCCAACTGAAGTTCAACATCGATGCCGTTAACGAAGCTCTTGTTTCCAACATCCCTGTTCCACCAAGAGATTTCACCATGGATCCACAAATGATTGTTATTCGATCCTTCGATGTTAACAAGCCGGGTGCTGAAATTGACGAATTGAAGGGTGGTGTTGCTGGTGGAAGTATCTTGCACGGTGTCATCAAGTTGGGTGATGAAATCGAGATTAGACCCGGTATCGTTTCTCGCGACGAAAAGGGAGGTGTTAAGTGTCAACCAATTTTCAGCAGAATCATTACTCTCAACTCGGAGAACAATGAACTGAAATACGCTGTTCCAGGAGGACTTATTGGTGTTGGTACTCGAATTGATCCAACTCTTTGCCGTGCCGATCGTCTCGTTGGTTTTGTTCTCGGTCTCAAGGGTCGTCTTCCTGATATCTACATTGAAATCGAAGTCAACTATTATCTGTTGCGTCGTCTCTTGGGTGTTAAGACTGCCGATGGTAAACAAGCCAAGGTTACCAAGCTCACCAAGAACGAGGTTCTCATGGTCAACATTGGATCTACTGCTACTGGTGCTAAGGTCATGGCTGTCAAGCAAGATGCAGCCAAATTGCTCTTGACTAACCCAGCCTGCACAAACATTGGAGAGAAGGTTGCGCTAAGTCGTCGTATTGAAAAGCATTGGAGATTGATTGGTTGGGCCACTATTGCTGCTGGTGTCACTCTTGACCCAAGCACTTCTTAAGCGGGTGGATAGGTAGACGTGTGTAATATTTTCACACATAAAAGTAGAAATTTCAAGATGGAAGTGAAAAGAAGAAAACGCAGCGATGTATTTTGTGACGCAAGTGATGTGGTGATTTGATCTGATGGTTTGGTGGCAGGGGAAATAAAAAGGGTCTCAATCTCTTTGGACTCTTGGCTTCTTCCGGTCTGGTCATCGCATGCATACTTGGTAGTCGAGGTCATGGGAGGTTGATAGATTGGGCATTCAAAAGTTACCTAGCTCGATAATGAAAAGAATCTTTTTTTTTTATATACAGTTTCTGTGATCAGTTTGTTGATGTGTTTGGAGTGGAGTGGAGTGGGATGGGGAGTGGGAGGGGGAGTGATGGGTGATGGGTGATAGGTGATAGGTGATAGGTGAAGGTGAAGATCAAAGGTGGTGTGAGCTTATGGTTTATAAATTGATTAGGGGTCAAATGGGGATACGTGTACAGAATGGTATATTTTGAGGGAGAGGACAGTGGTGATAGATAGATAGTTAGGGGGAGGAAGGCGGTGGGTATTTTGGTATCTGGGTAGATAGTATGGAGGTGGGTATGTAGGTAGGTATGTAGGTAGTATGGAATGATTGTGGTGATTAGATGGATGGGATGGATGGGATGGGTGGGATGAAGATGAGGTTGATAGCTATGTAGTTACCTAGCTCCCTAGTATCTAAGAGCGAGATAGAGATAGGTAGAGATAGAGATAGAGAGATATACGTACATACTAAAATCCTCGGTTAGAAGTGGGTAGTATGTAGATGATTTTATTGTTCCTTGCTATGCTATGTGGTGAGATTTATACTTTGTACTACGTATGTAGATTTGGCTCGGGTTAGATGTCGGGTTAGATGTCGGGTTAGCTGGGTAGATAGATACTAGATAGTGTACCGGTATTGATGCTTTTAGAGAGAGTTTGGGGGTTGATTGATTGATTAGTTGATTGGTCGGTTGGTTTATATGTACCTAGTATAATTGTGATTGTAATCTGAAGCTTAGGATTTGGGTATAATGTACGATGGGCACCTAGGTATGGAGTACGATACTTTCCAAGGAGAATAGGAGAATAGGGGATTTGTTATCTTTACTTTGGATATGTCGTTGTGTATGATATGTGATATAGTTTATTATCTTCGAGTGTGATGAAATATCATATATCGATTCAATTGGTGACGATGAGATTCCGAATCCAATGGAAATTGTTCATATTGTCATTTGACTACTACCTAGGTAGGTATTGGACTCTTCCAAGGTTGTAATGGGGGGCGTGATATAATCAATTGTACGTGAAATGGACATGGTGTCCTGTAGGCTGTAGGACGACACGACACCATGGCGATTTGCATGTAACAGAGTCGATATGAGTCGATCGTGGTCATACTGGAAATCGGAAATCGTAACCGAGGAGTATTTCATTGACTAAGCTATGTGTCATCAAGGTCCACGGGTGTGAGGGTTTTTTGGAGAGCGGTCTCGATACATACCCAAGAGGTACTAATAATTAATAAATAAATAAATATATAATGTTCATTTCAGCTAGCTCACGAAACGGGCTCACCGTTAGTCATGCATTTCATCCGTCTACCAGGTCTTCAAAACACATCACATCGTCGGTTCAAGAAAAGATGCGATGCGAACGATGCGAAATACCTGCCTGATTTTGATGTAAGACCATCCTAATTCCAAGACGAAAACCATGACGCCTGCTTCCTCTGGGTTTTCCAACACCCGACGTCTTACAGACTCTTACGTCGTACTTCATGGAATCATTAATGAACGAGATGAGTAAATATGAGTCAGGCCGCAAGGGATCAAAGCGAGTAATCTTCGCACCCAGAATGAATGAACACCCAGGTGGAGAACACAGGATGAACGTCGGACACTTGAATACATCCGTGTCCATGTTTCGCGGCGACTTTTGGGATCCTCGCATCGGATTACGTGGGGTGTGATTGGGTGGGATGGATCTGGTCATTCCAACGCGAGCGGATTCGGTTAGGAGTCGAGAAGAATCTAGAGGGATGGAAAGGTTGGCTGGGATGAAGAGTGGATGGAAATGTTTACCCTTTCCTTCTCTTGCTTTCCCCTGGTGAGTTGTGAGTGAGAAATTGATTGAATAATGTGATTGAGGTAGAAGGGGATCGATGGAGAGGAAAGTGTTTGGAGACTTTTTCTGCTTCTTCTCCGATGACTCTTTTGTTTCTGTATATTCTCGAATTTGAGTTCATCGGTTGATGAAGGGGTATATATATATAGATATACACACATGTATATTATATTTAATCTTCATCGTCTTTCTTCCCTTTTTACCTTTTCCCTAAATCTTATTACTCAGATTAATAATTCATCAAGCATCTGCCCAAGAACGACTCAAAAAATAACCTTAATTGAAAAAACCATTTTTACCCCAGGATTCTTTAATTGAATTTTATATAATTGGACCTCATTGAACATAATTGAACTTGGACCCTCTATTTCTTCTCTACGATATCTGTCAAAGAATTCCAATTTCTTGGGTTGCCCTAGTCTACCGGGCATATTTTTCTTTTCTTTTCTATATCTATCACAAAGGCCATTTTTTCAACAAGTCTCTCCAATCGGACTTTAATCATCTTCTATATCCGTTTATTTTCGATCCTCCGTTCATTTTATTCTTTCCTCCGCTCCAAACACGGACGAGGAATCCCGCCGAATTCGTCCGTTGGCAAGGGTTTAAATACAATATTTACTGTTCACACCTGACTTCTTAAAGTACATACCTCGTAGTCAATTAAAGATTACTTCTTCAACTACTTGAACGATATCTAGGTACCCACTGGAGCTGTCTTTTACTCATTTCTCCCGTACTTCTAAGAAGTCTCATCAGCAAGAGAAACATTATACAACGGGATACCAAATGATGACAGACCAAAAGGTACCACCCACTACCAGTGCTTCGATCAGTTCTTCAAGCACCATGCACGAGAAATCCGACGCCGAACAAGCGGTTCTAGCACGCGAAGCTATGAAGAAAGATGCTGAGCTGTCAGAGAAACCTTCGGAAACGATGCCTTCGGTCCATGAAGGCGACAATGATCATCCTATAGAGTTGAAGAAGACAAAAAGTGCAGCAGAGATACAGCAAGAGGAGTTGAACAGAGTTCACACAAGCGCAGAGGGTATAGAATATCCAACGGGAGTTAAATTACAGTTGATTAGTTTGGCCTTATGTTTATCCGTCTTCTTGATGGCTTTGGTAAGTTTTGTCGAGTTTCCCTAGGGTCATGGTATTGTTTCGTGTATGTGTGTTCTAATTGGCGAATAGGATAACTCGATCATTGCAACGGCTATTCCTAAGATTACTGATCAGTTTCACTCGTTGAACGATGTTGGATGGTACGGATCGGCATGTAAGAATCCCTACTATTTGTTGGTTTTGTAGCCCCATGGGGAAGAAACTGTTGAAAGTAGAACTTAACCACTAACATCATACCTTTCCCAGACTTACTCACCACTGCTTCCTTTCAACTCCTTTTTGGAAAATTCTACTCATACTTCTCGATAAAATGGGTTTACCTGGTTGCGATTGGTATCTTCGAGCTCGGCAGTTTGATCTGTGGTGTTGCACCAAATTCAATTGCGTTGATCATTGGTAGAGCTATTGCTGGCTTGGGTAGTGCTGGAATCTTCTCTGGTGCTTTGATCATTGTCGCATACTCAGTCCCATTGGTTAAGAGACCCATGTATACTGGTTTGATTGGAGCTATGTATGGTATTGCCTCTGTCGCTGGACCTCTACTTGGAGGTGTATTCGTAAGTCTGACTTGTAACATTTCACTTTACGAAGACACAAACACTGACTTGAACAGACTGATAAAGCAACTTGGCGTTGGTGCTTCCTAATCAATCTGCCAATTGGAGCTGGTAAGTCCCTCCAGAATTTTGTGAGAAAAGCAATCGCTAATTGTTCAATTTCTTAGTTACTGTTCTTGTTATTTTGGTCTTCTTCAAAGCTCCCGATAGAGAAGCTGTTGCAGACCTCCCATGGAAAGAACGCATAAAGGAATTCGATCTTCTCGGTACCGCATTCTTCATCCCAGCTATCATCTGTCTATTGCTCGCACTTCAATGGGGTGGAACCAAATATCCTTGGGGAAATGGACGTATCATCGCACTTTTCGTACTTTTCGGAGTGTTGATCGGAATATTCATCGCCATCCAATTCTGGAAGGGAGATAGCGCCACCGTACCACCCAGCATTATGAAGAAGCGAAGCATGTGGTCTGCTGCATGGTTCTCCTTCTGTCTCGGATCATACTTCCTGCTTTTGATCTACTATCTTCCCATTTGGTTCCAAGCCGTCAAGGGGGATTCGGCTGTCAAATCTGGCATTTCTAACATACCAATGGTCTTGACCTTGGTCATTGTCAGGTTCGTACAATCTTCCTTATTTTCGCGGAACTTCATACTAACTAGTTCTTCAAGTATCATCTCCGGTGCCCTTGTCACAGTAGTCGGTTATTACGCACCACTTATGATCGTTTCCTCGGTCATCGCATCCATCGGGATTGGTCTCCTAACCACCTTCAAGCCAGACACTAATCACGCTGCCTGGATCGGTTACCAATGTCTCGCTGGTATCGGTATTGGTTTCGGTATGCAACAGCCTCTTATAGCCTGCCAAACCGTCCTCGACATTTCTCAAGTGCCAACCGGTACTTCAGTCATCATTTTTGTCCAAACACTCGGAGGAGCTCTATTTGTTTCCATTGGTCAAAATGTGTTTACAAATAAACTTGCCCAGAATTTGGCACATTATGTACCGGATCTCAACCCAGCAGTCGTTTTAAGCACAGGTGCTACTAGCATTCAAAAAGATATCGCACCAGAATATTTGGCTGGTGTGACAATTTCTTATAACAATGCGTTAACTCAATCATTCTTGGTGGCTGCGGTTATGGCTGCACTTACTATTATTGGCAGTTTGGCCATTGAATGGAAGAGCGTTAAGGGAAAGAAAATTGAAATGGCTGCTGCTTAATTCCTGATTTGAGCTGGATTTCAATTTCATCGTTATAACTTCAAGCTTACGGTTTGCATTTTAGATCATGTGGGATGAAAATTATGATCTTTTTTTGGATGTGCTGCATTTTTTGCGTTGTACTATATACCCCTTTGGCGTTTCGGAAGAAAGATTTGGCCAAATGGCTATTGCTTTTGAAGTGAAGTGAGGGCAGCTCACTTGGCTCCTCATACTGATTTGACACATGAGATAGGGGTTAAGTGTCTGAAAGGCTGGAGGATTTGATAGATAATAGATGAATGCATAGATGGATGATGGAATATGGAATATGTATAAATGGAGAGATAGATGAAGGGGGTAGCAACTAAACTCTACTACTTATTTAAATTAATAGAAAGAGATACTAATCTTAATCATTTATTGTCTACTTTCACATCTCGATATCGGAATGTATGTGCTATGTGATCTCAGGCCACCACTACCTTTATTTATTTCTGCTTTCTCTACTTGGATTGATCCATCGCCTAAACCGCCGATTTTGTCGTAGAGTACAGTACCAATAAACCAACTCATTTCTTAGCCGAAACGCTAGTACGCGCCATCTGCACTTCTCTCCAATACCAACACCCCACCAATGCTGCACCAGGCCCCACAAGCACATTCGCGAGAAGTAATAGCGCCGCTGCTTTGCCGACATCGATGGTGGTTCGACCGACGCGTTTGATGTCCCATACTGCGTTGCAGCACATGATGTAGGTAGCGAGGTGGAAGGACCAGAAATTGATGAGGAAGTAGGTGTGGAGGGGGGAGGGGGGGATGTTGGAGAGAGTCGTGTTGGAGAGAGTCGGGAGGAAGATGGAGGAGAGCGAGAGGAGGGGGTTGGGGACGAGGAAGATGTAGATGAGAGAAGTGAGGTGGAGGAGGAGACCGAGGATGAAGGTGGAGAGGTAGAGGGTGCGCAGGGGGCGGATGTCGGTGGGGGTGTGGGAGGCGGTGGGGGTTTGGGTGGGTGGGGGGATGAGGGTTTTGAGGATGGTGCTGCTGAGGAAGGTGAGGAGGGTGGTGAGGGGGGGGAGGAGGGGGAAGATTTGAGTGAGGGTGAGGGGGAGGGGGAGGGGGAGGATGAGGAGGAGCGTAGGGATAATGTAGCAGAGGAGGAGGCAGGGGAGAATCGCTTTCATGTAGTGAGCGGGGACGAGACGGGAGAGCGGCCACCAGTAAGGTTCGGCGTTGGAGAAGAGGGTGTAGGCGGTGTAGAAGATGGGGGCGATGATGCCGAAGCCGAAGTACTGGGATAGGGCGAGCCAGATGGTTGGGCTGGGTGATGGGTGTTAGTTTTTCATTTCTTGATAGTTGTTTTTTTCTTTGGAAAATGTGAAAACCGAGAAAAGGGAAAGAGAAAGAGAAAGAGAGTTTCTTACAGAGCCACGAGATTCATATCATTACGCTTGCGACAACCCTCCACCAACCAGACAGCCAAAGGCTGAACCAACATGCCATAGAAATACACACTCAACACCCCCAACCTCTGATCTTTCTCCGCCGCGCGTCGCGGACTCCTCAAAATCCCCGCAAACTCCTCCGCCAACCCCGCCTTCTTCGAATGCATCCACATGCCATAATACGCGCACGCCGCCAGCGCCATATAAACCGCCATTTGCAGCCACCCGGTCAGTCCTCGCAATTCCGGGGCTTGCGCCAACTCATCTTTGTACGGGATGAGTTTGGGACGGGGCGGAAGCTCCACCATATCTAATTTCTCGGCGTACGGCTGGTTTCCCGAGAAA